TATGTTACATGTCTGAAAACTAATCTCCCAGTTTTTAAGATAAACGACATTCTGCAGATAAACGTATGTACTTTAAACATTTGTTGGAGTGCTCAAAATCGTATGAGTATATAACATAGCAGCAATAAAAAGTGTACAATTGGAAAATATTGCGCAAAGATTTAGACATCACAACACGCTCCATGAATCGAGTGCCGCGTTTACTGACCTTGACCAAAACGCAAAAGCTTAAAGACCTAAACAATGCCATACGAACAAATAAAACAAACATAACATTAGAGTGCAAAAGCTGAAAAAGATCAGAAGACAAATACTACAATGACACCAGAGAGATAGGTAACACGTCATGGCTACTGTTTTTTAGGATGACAATTGTATGTTGATGATTGATTACATTGAAATATGCTAGACACTAACTAGAGAATACTAGATAACATTACAACATGACCCATCTGTCTTCTTACGCCAACGCACACACAAATTCGAGCCCCATTGATTTAAGTCTCTACTCTTTTACATGGACCCTGGTTCGAATTAACATTGCTAGCTTATATCTTTCAACTTATCCTTTTCCAGCTCCATTCTGCAATTTCCTGTCAAAATTTTCTGTGCTTGCTTTAAGATCCACGTTACTGAATAAATTCAACATCGCAATTTCCGAACTTTGCTGATCCACTCTACATCAATATAGCTTAATTTCTTCATATCGGATTCTGAATTTAAAAATGTTTACATGGATACTACCAACAACTAGAACATCTGGCGTGTCTAGTGAAAATGGAACACATATATATATATGAGTAAAAATTATCCAAAAATTATAGGAGTTATGTGATTGAAGAAGTATGTTATCATAATCACATGACTTTTTTTTGTCTCCAAAGTTTAAATCACCAATTGAAAAAAGACGTTTCGACCCTATAGTGATCATAAAAGAAAATTTAAGAGGAAATGATAGTTATCTCTAAATTTGACTATAAAAAATTGATTGAACGATCTGAATATTTTCGGTTACTTTGAACCCCGAATGTATTACGTTTGATATAATTTCTATGTGTATATTAGACCATTTAAAGTTTAATTTAATAACATTATAACTACTAAATCATCATAAACGAAATTTTTCTTTTTTTTTTTGGGTTAACTGTCATATAAATAATGGCAATATTTATAGTCTATTTTATTTTACTATGTCAAATTAACTTATCACATACTTTAGCTGAAATTGGTCTCCGTAATTTGTATGAGGAAAGCCACACAAATTGTTAATATTCATAATAGCGACAGGTTTTCCATTTTCAATTAAAAGTGTAATTTGACTCAAAAAACGACCGTCAAAACAGAAGATATATTCGCTCGACAAGAAGAAAAAGAAACTAACTAAAATAATAAATTAAATGAAAAATTTATGAGGCAGAAAAATTACAAAATATACAACAAAATATGAAAAAAAGAGTTATTTAACACACATTTAAAATAAGAAGAAAAACCAAAACATAATTTTTCTTTTCATTAAAAATGGCTTTGAAATAATAACTTTTATTTTAAAGTATATCACGTCTATGGACAACAAAAAAAAATATAATTCTTCTAGTTCAACTATCAGTGACTATCAGTTATAAAACGAAATTGGAAAAATATATGTATATATGTATGTACTTCATTGATAAGTACTACCTACACAGACTAAATCGAACTGCTACGATGAGATGCAAAACTTTTCGAGATATAGTAAATATGGTAAAGTAAATAGTATTTTTTCAAATATAAATAAATGCTGAGCCGGCGATTATCTTTAAACGTGATTAATGTCAATGGCACGTAACAAGCAGCACAGAAATATCAGAAACGCCAGAAATGCCGTCCAAAACTATTTCGTCTGAGTGGTTCACTTTTCTTTCTAGCCACATATCTAAAAACATTTCTGATAATGGTGCACGTCATACGCACAGTTTCTATTTACGTATCTAATAATGATAAAATCCTATAGCAGTTATTAATGTTGTGTTATCAATAAATGAATAACATGAATAAATGAATTTTTTTCAAATTCAGATAGTTGGTGACATAAGTAAGTAAATAAGAACTGATAAACAATAATCCCACCAAGACGTAGAGAGGGGTTATGTAGAAACCTTGCAGTTAATAGAGAGTAAAAGTGCTCAAGTGCACTGCCTCAACTAGTCTCAACATAATAATAATAGCTAAGAAATTAAAGTATCTGCACATTGAAACTTGACAAAAGTGTACCTTTATCATTAACAATTAATGATATTAAAATCATAAAAATAATTTTATATGCATAGATCTCGAAGTACCCTGAAGAGAATTGAAAATATGTACTACACTATTTTATCATATCAACAATAAAACGTTCCATCTTTGATAATCAATTTTTGATATTTTTTTAAATAAACATTAATATCAAAAGTATTAAAATAAATTTGTATATAGTCATACTGATAAGAATCATTTAAAAATTTACAACTCCACGTTCTAAAGAAGGTTATACTTGGTTTTAATTACATCCGTAAAAAGCTTCAAGAATTCATAACCACGTTTCGCCGAATAAAGTCATATTTTCCCGCTATATTAATACGGAAACTATTTGATTTAACTAAGGTCCTCTTAATTGAATATTCAATTTAACGAATGTCCAATTTAATTATTGCTCAACTTAACGAATGTTCGATTTAGCGAATATATAATATAATGAATATCCAATTTAACGATTACCCTGTGTGAACAATGAAAAACTATTCAGTTTAACAGCTGTCCAATTTAACGAATGTCCAATTTAACTGATGTCCAAAATAACTAATATCCAAAATAACTATTGTCCAAAATAACTAATGTTCAAAATAACGAATGTCCCAAATAATGAATGTCCAAAATAATAAATGTCCAAAATAATAAATGTCCAAAATAATGAATGTCCAAATTAACGAATATCCAAATAACAAATGACAAAATTCTATCCTAAACGATTCTAGATAAATCATAATTAGTTATATTAAAAATTTATTGACTTAACGAATACCGCTGATAATATCAATAATATCAAGAAACAAAAGATTTCAATTTTATTATTACATATTATATTTTTATATAGTATTTTTTTGTTTAATATAGTTATACGATATAATTAATTCAAATCATGTGGTCAATTGGATGTATACTCTTTTGTAAAAACATTTGAAAATATATAACTATAAACGTTATGCTATATAGTCAACCGAGACAGCAATTTCAATATAAACTACAATTTTTTATAATTAGAATATAATCAACAGATTTCAAGAATTTCAACATATGTTTCAAAAATATTGTTTAAAAGTCTATGTGTCAAATTGAAGTTGGTTAGCTCGAATATAAAATGAATGATTTCCATTTTGAAACAAGCAGACAACAGGCAAATCGAAAAAGAAAGAGAGTGACGGAGATCGGGTAAGATGACTTGGTCAATTCGTCATACTGATCTGTCCATTATTATGTTTACTACTTATGATCTTTGAAGTGGAGTTTTTTGCTCTATAAACATAACATATACACTTTTTTATATGCATTTTGAAGTCTGTAGTAGTCTATAGGCCATAAAACAAAGTAAATTGAAAAGGAACTTTAAGGATATTGATTAACTCAATAGAATAATGAAAATATATGTCATAGACCCAATCAAAAATCTAGTTTTTATATTTTTCAACTCCTATTGATTAATATTAAAATGAGCACATTATTTTAACTTTTAGCTAGTGCACAGTAGATCTATTTAAGTCGCACTACTTTCTGGTAGTTAATAATAGTAGCCTATTAAAAAAAATAATCTGCTACAAACAAAATGTTACAGCTTATCAAAGTTAATGTATTTACGAACGCCCTCAGCAGATCGTGGAATATATCTCAACACAGCTTATTTGAAATTTGATGGAGAAAGTTTCGGAAAAGTAGCCTAGTACCTTTAACATACATGTATGTATGTTATACATTATAGATTGTAAAGACTAGTAAATAGAACGACCCTTCCCCTCTTATAATTAGATCTTGCAATAAGAAATTTATTATTTATATATATAATCCGGTATATATTGCAAACGATTTAATGAGTAAACTAGATAAGTTTAGATAGGTTTTGATTTATATTAAGAGATAGATAATCACAATGTAAATTTAAAATTATTTTATTAAAAATTACAAATACCACTTAACGAACGTCTTCAAGAGTAAATATAAATTTTCTTTTTCAACTTTAGGCTCTGCTCTTCAATGAAATCCCGAAAACGTATCAATTTCAAAGCTTGTTAAAGCGTGGGCAGGTTAATATAAAAACTCAATGGTAATATTTTTTTGCGGATTTTAACAGAATACAAATGTATATTGTGAATATTATTTTATTTGTTAAATGTAACTTCCGAACTAAAGTTTTTAAATAACTATGACGACCAAAATATGGAACACAGTTTTACACGGATTTTTTTTACTTGCCTCTGCTAATTTATTTCCAGATTTAAATTTAAAAAGAAACTTGATTTGGATTATCGAAATAAACGATTTTAAATATAAATTTGTGCAATATTTAATATTCAATATGCTAAAATACGACTTATAGTGGTGTCGTTTTTAAAGAGTTAAAACCGCAGGACTAACACAAATTTTTTAAACGAAACGCAGGGATACATTAATGGTGAAAATGTTCTTTTTTGTTCTATAAAGTTCCTGCTTGAATAGGAAGAAGTTAGTAATATTTGTTGTTGTTTGCTATATGTAAATGCATGTATAGAAGTGTCTATATGCGGTGGTGGCAGTGTCCTTTCCTACAGGAATCGAACAGGAAGAGAATTTTATTGCATTGAGCAAGTGGTGAGAATAAATTTGTTATGGTGAAGAGAACTAAATTGCGAAATGCAACAAAATCCAAATGGAATAAATGACATGAAATGAAAAGAGGTGAAATACGTAAAAAAACAATGAGTACAGGAGTAGAATATTTTGTATGTACCTACCGGAGACAATATTGTACAAAACGCTTCAAACGGCCCCAGCCCTTAATGATGCATTAGGACGAAAAATTTGACAAGTTATATATTTAATTGAAATCCATTATATTTTGTTAATTTATTTATTTAAAATTATTGCCACAATTAATGCAATTATTATATACACAAATATATATTTTGTATGTTTAGCAGTTGCACTTTTTTAGTATTTTAGCAATTTCACTGCAATCGATTTCTTACCAGACGAAACTATAGGCAAGGATATATTTCTTAAATATTTAATAAATCGCTGGTTTTGTTTTTTCTTTTACACTTTTTCATAATTAAACAAACTATTAAGATTTAACATAATTCATTATTTATTGTTGAAATTTTTACATTAGTTATTGTTTCACTTTTATTTTATCGTTTTGTTTTAATGCATCCTCGATTTCATGGCTTCAATTTCTTAGTTTAATATACTTTTTATTAAAAATTATCAATTACTCAAAAGAAATACTATCAAAAAAAACACTAGTTATTTTATTTTAATAAAAATTTCACCCAATATCATCGTCTTTTCCAAATATTCGAAGGAGCAAAAAAAATTATGACGACTGACTGACTCTTTACTTAATTTCTTCGCCGACTTCGCCCGAAAACGAGCAAAAATTTACTTTTCGCCTTCAACAGACTTCGCTACGAATTAAACCGCAATTAGGGTTGCAACTGCAAAAAATAGTTTTTATTGTAAACGAATAGTACGTAATAAAAAATTTATGCACTTAATTTTACTAATGACTTATATTTTATGCAATTCAGCAATTTTTGAAAAAATTAAAATACATTAAGTTACAATAATAAATAATATATCAAATAATGTATTTTAATGCCGTGTGCGTGTTCTAGTAAATTGAGGTAAAGTAAATTGAAATTTCCTATAAATTTTTTGCACTGCACTTATGTAAATATTTATTTATTGCACTTATTTATTTTTTTTTTGATTAAAAGTTTTCAAATTAATTAATTTATTTATTAAACAACTTATTAAATTTTTACAATGGTAACACCTAATTTACTTAATTTTTGTCTAATTTACCCTACTCGAAATTCTGATATATACTAACATTCCGATATAATTTACTATTTTCATCAATTTACCTTCAATTTGCTCAAATTCGCACATGGCCTAAAATAACTTAACTTAACATTAAATGTTTTATATGTGTAGTTATTATCAGAAAAAATTTAATTTAATTTGCAATTACGAATTTAATTTGGCTTCTACTAGGACCAAAATAATAATACTATTTAAAAACCTCTCTTGTTTTTGAATAGTATTCTCACAGGCTAATTGGTCAATTTTTTATTATTGTTAAAATATTATTTTTAAAAATAATTGACCAATTACCTGTAAGAACATTATTTTAAAAAAAATTGTTTAATCATAAAATAATAAATACTTGAAAATATGATTTCTAATAAAATATTAGTTCCTTTCGTTAATTTAAATTAACCATCATATCAAAAAAAAATATTTTTGATCCACCGCTAAAATAAATAAATGTATTCTAAAATAATTTTTAATATAAATATGCTGTATAAAATAATAAAAATAATAAAATTTTATTGTTTTAGTTTATTACTGTTCGAAACACCTTTCTCTTGAAAATAATACTTTATATTAAGAATTTAGTTTCTTTCGTCAAAACGGACGTCAGAAATCAATTTAATAAATATAGCCGTAATTTTTTCTTTCAGAGTTGTAAAAAAACATTAAGTCTTGTTGAAACAAATTGGCATCACATATAAAATATGTTAAATTTATTTTTTACATATGTTTTTTATTGTGTTGTATACAATGTAAAATATAAAAATTATGAAAAAATTAATTAATTTAAATAAAAAAAAACAAAATGAATATTAGAAAGCAATTGTAAGCATTTTTGTCGTATGTATTTAAGTTAGTTTATTTATTTACGTATTTGAAATGAAATGCTTATATTTAGTAAATGAAATGCTCATATGATATTAACGGATGACTGGATTTTTGCAAAATATTTCCATTGAACATTCACAATAGCCTGATTTTTAATAGATTTAGGTCGTGTGCGAGTTAGGCTAAGTTGGGTTCTAAATGAGGGAAATTCTAAGTTGTGCCGATAATGTAGTGATGTGTCGATACGTGTTGATAAATGGCTAAATGTGTGCAGTGCAAAAAATCCTAAAAAATCTCCCATTTGGTTTAGCATCAACTTAGCCTAACTCGCACACGTCTTTAATTTAAGTTAAAATTTAAAGATTTTTCCGAGTGAAACCTAACTCTGAAAATTTTAGAAGCTTTATTGTTGCTTCACATGTTTTCTTTCGTAAATTGCGAATATTTTTTGCTACTCTGAAAGAAAAAATTACAGCTTATGTTAAAATATAATTTGCCGTAGGTTATGCCGATGTTGTTTTGGCTACTCTTCAGTAATCGTTATTCATACTTAATTTGCATATAAAATTTATAATTATAATTTGAATTAATATATAACAAAAATTATGAATTCTTAATCTAATCTAAATCTAAATCTTAATTTTGAATTACGTTTGTTTATCTTTTATATATGGTAATTATAGATGTAAATAAAAATACCGAAAGCGACATCGTTTTTTTTTTTTTTGTTTTATATTATGTGAACAAAATTATTTACAATAACGACATACCACTTTAATATTGTGTAAACAATTTTACAAATTATAATTCAATCATTACATTATTTGTTAGATATTTATATGACACCGTATAGCTGGAATTTGTAATAAAGTGAACGAACCGAACTAGCAAAATAATTAAATAAAACATTACATGTACTGTGTAAATAAGCTACTATATATAAACTTAGATAATAAAACAATGTATATTATTTTTTATTAAACTATATTAAGTTCGTGAGAAAAGAAATTACTGTATTACAAATGAAAAATTAATAAATAATTAAAATATATGAAACATATTACTTAAATGAATTTAATTTAAATTTACTTAAATTACAATAAGTAACTGTGTAGATGACTCGCTTGTATTATTAGAACATAAATTAGCTGTTTTGTAAACTCACAATTTTTTGTTTATTAACTACTAAACACATTTGAAATAAATAAACAAGCAAAATATGAATGTAACTTAACTTATTATTTTTATAATGATTTAAAAAAAAAATTGTGATTACAAACAGAACTACACATTAATTAACTATGTAAATAATTAATTTCTATATAAGAAAGTATATAAAAAAATGTATTATATCATAAGCACCATACATTTATTTGGAGCATCCATTCCTCATATCCATTGTCAATACGTTTTATTCTTTGACTGATAAAATTTTTTATACGAAATTATCGGTAATACATAGTCGCATTTAAAAATCAATACTTTTTAATAAATAATGTGATATGTATATATACATTATTTTTAAAATAACGTTGTATCATTTAATTATTTACAACTTATATTGTAAGGTAAAACTTTTATGCTTAGTTTGATTTAGATATATTAAAAAATTTATCAGTTATTTACTTTTTGACACTGTTTTGTTAAATAAAAATTTAATACATTAAAATTCTTATATATATTAATATAAATATTATTTATTAAAATTATATTTAGTCCATTGTATTTTGATTTTAGTTTTAATGCATGAACTGAATAATGTAAATATAACTGAAGCCAAAGCTGTCAAATCAAACAGCTGTAGCGCGACAAGTTTGACATTTCGTGTATGACGTAGACATAGTAGGAGATTTTGAAATATGTGTGGTTAATTTTATAAAAACATAAGTTAGTACTTAAACTTATAAAAATATATTTATATTTATATATTTTATATATAGACAATACAATAATTTAATAATAATAGTCAAAAAAAAATCTAACAAAATATGGAAATTAAAAGTAAGTTTTTTATGAAAGAAATTGTAAAAAATTGTCAAAACGAAAATATATTGCATCTGATGCAGTTTGTAATCAATAAACTCTCAATCAATTTGACATTAATGCTATAATTCTAAAATTAGCTTAAATAATCTAATAGCAAATTGTATTTCTGCTTCGATATTCATCAATGGGACAGCTTATAAAAGAAAAAAATTTAATTTTTCTTGGTACTATGGACGTACCTACCATCTTCGTTTTGAATAATCATATGAGCAAATAGTTTTACATTGTACGTATAAGTATATGACAAAGTATATGTCGGATACTGGTAGAAATATGCATCACTCGGAAGGAGCTTTCTCAAGGATTTTGTCTACTTTGTCACCGCCTTAACAAATAATACCGATGTCAGCCTGGAGTTCAGAAGAAGAATCACCATTGCCAATAGATGCTATTATAGACTCAGTAGGCAATTGGGTTGTAGATCTCTCTTTTGACAGACAAAAAATTTACTCTATAGGTCGTTCATCTTATCACACAATGATGAACCAGCTCTGAAAACTTTCAAGAAAAAAGTTTCTTGTAAGATCTTTAGTACTCTACGACTGCCGCATCCGAATGCACAACGAGTTCTATCATGACATTAACATAATCCAACAAATTGACATCCAACGGCTTCATGTCGTGAGATTTGGCTTATATATATTTGTTACTTAAATTCTAAGTCTTCTGTATTTTAACGTTTGCCTTTCCCTTTATAACTGGAGTGGGTTTTCAACTTTTGGCCCTAATGGTCCAATAGCTGAAATTAGTCCATCTTGCATTCTTAAGAGATGATTATAGTCGGTTATAGTCTCACACTGGCTTTCGATGCATTCCACCTACCTACTGCAGAAACCGTTTCTAACATATGTAGTATACCAGTTTTCATCAATTATGAAAGTGTACACTGACTTAGTTTGGTGCTCCAAGTCATGATGCTCGTTCAACGGCTGATCACCAGCAAATACAGTCCGCCTTGCTATGAAACTTTGTTGAATTTTTTCTGAAACTATATGCTTCAAGCTATAATATAGTAGCAAATACTGACAATTTAGTAATGTCTATCTTTGGTCGATATCTAAAGACGACTACAAAAAGAATCAATTTGTTCTTAACAATTCTTTCTAGGTGGAAGAAAATGAATTCTTAAACTATCTTAACAAGATTTATATCTTAGATTCTCAACTAAAAACCTGAATGTTACCATCGTTCTCTACAATTGTTATGAGTGTAAAATCATTGAGATATTCCTTTCTTAGAGAAGTCTAGATCGGAAGTCGCGATATTCTCTACATCAAAATGATAAAACTCACAAAAAGTGCACGTGGGTAAAACTGGAGGACCTCTATCATGTAAACTACAACACACTTTTAAGGTAGTCTTCTAAACAACTCTTTTGCATACGATGATGGCAATAGAACTGTAATTAAGACGAAAGTGCTAATACTAATTGTAGAGGATATTTAAGTTTAATCACGAATCTGAGACAGCGCATACACACATCTATGATTAAGACTAGTTGAAATATTTGCAGTTATAAATCTGTGCTGCTAAATATCCCAGCACTCTCACCAGACTGTACCAGAGGAATATCGATAATAGATTCGACATTCTTCAATCGCTCACGGTGATGTAGATCGGTGTCGTAGAGAATAGAGCAGGGTACAAATAAAAATGGAAGAGAACGATTTTCCATTTGAATATTTTTACTTTAGCATGTGATACTTTTGCGTCAAAATACATAAACGATCAATAATATGGTATGGACCTCTATCCGTACATGCCACTTGAGTAATCTGAAAAGATCACATAAATATAATAGGCTAAAAGGTGCCAGGCTCGAATAAAGGTCCTATCGTTGCATTCAAGGTTAGAATCTTCAAACAATTTAAAAGCGTGCAATAAAACACCTGCTCTTATAAGACAAGTTAGCTTCTCTAATATGAAAAGTAAAAATGGAGGTTTTAGATCGAAATCTTCGCTATTATACTTAAAAATATATTTGAAACTTTCTCATCTCGAGTTAGTATATGATTTCTAGACCAAATGATATTAAACGATAGATACTATAAACTTTTTGTTGACAAATATACAATATGTCTGATTGTTATCCGTAGAATAGATGCTAAATTCAACGTTATTACTAAGAAGAAAATGTGTACCGACCATAAACATGAGCTCACTAGACTTACTGAGTTACACACTTAATGGTAGTTAGTTTCCTCTTCTCAAACTCAATTTTTCATCAGAGGTGAGCAACTAGAAGCTCTGTATTTATTATGCTGACGCAACAGCAGTAAAATGGTTTAAAGCCAACTTCAGAAAGCTGCTCTAAAACTTGTACATGAGGAGTATTTTTTTTGATTAAAATTGTGAATGAGGGATTTTTCAAAGCAATGCTTTCAAAGTTTCCAGAGCTATTGATAGTCTTCTTGCATCTAAAAGAGTTACTAAAAACAACTTGGTGAAACAAAATATTAAATTCTGGAATAAATCAAGAACTACAATAGCTTCTTCAAATTCTTAATAAAAAACAGACCAGATGAACTTCCATCATACAGAGGCACAGCCTATACAGGAGATTTAGAGAAGAATCCTTTAACATTGCGTTCATTCAAAAAGTTTGTATTCACCTTGGGTCTACTGAAGGTATCAAAATCAAATATAAGTTATTATGATTAATAAATTATTACAAATAACCTATAATAAGTGAGGAATTAATGCGAACCAAAAACTGCAGGTATTGCAAAACAACTAAATCTTAGATATCTTTTTTTTTGGTAGTTCCGATTACAGGACCTGCAATAGCGATAAGGTCACACGCAAAAACTCTCATCTTTTAAATAAATTGGTTAAAGATATGCATATGTTTTGATAACATTATATTCATAAGACATGAGTCCAACAGCGACCCCTATAAAATCCAGGTATGACCACAATTCAAAAGTCAACAATCTATATCTTGGATTAGCCAAACGACCTTTACGCCCTTCATAGACCAATGAAATATAATAATAGTACATCTATTTTGAGGTTTTTTGTTTTATTTTAATATTGATTTTCCAGTTTTGCAGTTTTATGTTTTTATTAATAATTTTAAGTTTGCAATTTTATATTTTGTGTCTACTTCTGATTTATCACACATCGATAAAAGTTCCACATATGTATGTTATCCTTACAAACATAATGACAAGTATACCAGCCATGTGGGACACAGACGGAAATAAGGTGTCAAACGTTGTATAATTCTTAAAGGCTGAATGAGTTGACATAGACGTTTCATCTTTACGAGAAATACCAAAATTGGCACCAATAATCGAATGCACAGCTTCCCAAAAGTTAATTATATCCCCTGTAGACATGCCAGACTTCATTTTATAGAGAATTTTGTAAACAATGTTTGATATCGCATGCTTACGTATTTTCTATATTTTGAAAAAAAAAATAAAAACATTATTTATTAAATAATATAATTTTTTTTCTTTTGGATTTTTCATATACATATATACCAAGAGACAAATAATTTTGCTTAAACAAAGCATGTCATCAACATTGACTTCGACTAAGTCTGGACGCCATTTAATCACAAGAATGATAGAGTATTAAATTGTGCGGTCCGAACAAGTCTGCATGTAAAGATTAGGGACTCCAGGTACATTTATTTAGTGGTAGAATTGATATCATCGTAAAATAGATTCTTAAAAAATATTTGTGGTACTCTTTATGTATCCGTTATAACATTAAAATTTTTGTCTTTATAAATGGATGCTCTAGGCTTAAAGCCTTGTTTAACTTTTTAGTGAATCTTATGAGTATCAACTCTGTTTGTACACACTACAATTTTGTCCAGTTCGCGTCTTACATGATCTTGTTGCTTTCATATCAAGAGGCATCTCGAGACATTCCTCGAGGAAAACGTTGGATACCTGAACATCTTTTTTAGTTGCACACAGGGAGTGAGGGTTTTGTCATTATTATCTATCGTCTTTATCGGAAAGAAGAGTAGTTATTTAATCGATTAGAGAGTTGAATGTTGACGATGCTTAGCGTCTCCGTACCGTAGCTCCGAGAAGGTAATGATCCGAGTAGATGTTTGAAGCATAAAATGAACTTGCGTCTACAACACTTTAAATGTGACGGAAAATCACGAAGTAATCAGACTGATTTTATGTCAATCACAGAAACTTGGTACCACATTTTATCATGTATTTCACTACAGCAAAATCAATCGACTTCAAACCATCGCTGGAGGTGAATTAATAAGGTCTGAATGTTCCAACGGGTGAACTAAAAATTTCTTTCCTTCCGACCCTTGCTTTATAATTCTAGTAAATAACTTCTTCGTGCGCAAAACTACAGTCATACATTTCTTCGAGACTCAGATAGAAGGCATCGTGCCAAAACAAAGTTTCTTTTTTAACACGAAAATAACATTCAAATAATGCCTATATGTCTAGTAGCCGAAATACTTTGGTGTATTTAAAAACACTGTCCTGTCCATTGCACTTCCTATAAAGCTTTTGTCAATTCGATAAAGATGCCTTCTCTGTAAACATTTGGCACATCTTTTGCCCGCTTTACTGATCTAACCCCTTCTTGTCTGAGATTTTATATAAGCAGCATATAAACAGCAGACTTTTTTTGACGAAGAGTTCTGTTTCCTAACCTTTACCTTACATATTTTTAACAACCAGTAGAGAACAAACCTACCCTAAATCCGTTGACTCCCAAAGTATACCTATCTCTCATTCTTTATACTTAGAAACAGTCTATTTCCTCTCGGCGGCGGTGTACGCACTGCCCTGAACAAAGCCTCGGTACCAAAACCTCAATCTTAAAGTCATTGAAATAGGGCCAGCTTTATGCATTTCTAGTTTATGAACCAGTAAGTGGTAAATGAGTGATTGCGATCCAGGAGCGCAGTAGAAAACTATAATAAAATGGTTTTAAAACCGTTTTGTTCTTATGTGCAGTTGGGCATTACTGCAGTTACCGTCGATGTCAGTGTTTCATATAAATTGGCTGCAGTGATAGTCGTCAAGTACTATAAGACAAGTCTGTAGTTTAATCGTACATTTGGCATTAATACCCACGCGCAATTGTCTTCATTTCAGCGCAGAGTTGTGTCAGATTTTTGAGTGTGTCGGAACTCTGAAAGAAGATATACTGATCAACTAAAAAAAAACTATTTTTTGTTTTGGTTGATCCTAATTTTCAAAAGAAATTGAAATATATAAGAAATAAACGTATTCAGCTTAAATGCACTGAAACGCAATATTCTGTCAGATTTTTGGGCATTTGGGAGCTAGCACTAGCCTGACACAAATACAAATATCGATAACAACAAAAACTACTTATCGTTCAAAACTCCCATCTCTAAACAGCTGTTTACGCTGTGCACATTTAAAAAAAAAAGTCGTTTAGCTGTAATGTTATTAATTTAATTTGAATATTTCTATATATAAGAACATGTTAAGTAATATAAGTAGAGTACAATGTACTCTTACTAGAGGTTATACTGCAAAAGCAAAGCGAATTATTCTTTCGCAAGATAAAAGTAAAATAAAAGGTATTTTCTATTTTCAATGCATTTAATTTAATAAGTTAACTTAAATATATTTAAACAATTTACAGTGCATGAACCCAAAATAGAGAATCCAAACGCAAATCGTATTTATGCATGGGGATTTCAAGAAACCGGCGCCTTGGGCCTTCTAACAAATGTTAAAAAAGCTCAGGAACGATACACAGAAATTGTAAATCACCCAACGAGGATGCAGTTCTCTGTAAACTCTGAAGTGGTTGACGTTACAGCTGGGTACGGGTTCTCTACATTTGCCGTAAAACGTTCTGATGGCGAAACACTATTTGGTTGTGGTCTGAATACAGACTCCCAACTGGGATTTCAAATCAAAGGATCTACCAGTGACCCGAAACATTTAGACGTAATAATATATCCAACGGCTATAAATTTACCTCGGTTAGAAGGTGAAACTAATGATGATATGGAAATAAAGTGCATGGCTGCTGGACGAGCACATCTCGTAGTCGTAACAAAAAATGGCACAATTTTTACAATGGGTAACAACTCGTATGGTCAGTGTGGTCGTGAAATTATCGCAAAAGAAGACTATCGTGGAAGTGCACTAATACATAGAATACCACAAACGTATTTCTGCGAAACAAATGATGAAGTAGTCAATGTAATTTGTGGTCAAGATCACACAATGTTTTTAACAAAACTTGGACGTGTTTATACTTGTGGTTGGGGTGCTGATGGACAATTAGGACAAGGACATTTTGAGACTACTGGTCAAATTTCTATAGCTAAAGGCGATATTGAAAAAGAAAATATTGTAAAAATAAGTTGTGCATCGGATTGTGTTCTTGCGCTAAATGCGAATGGTGAAGTTTTTGGTTGGGGAAATTCCGAATATGGACAGCTGGATAATTTAGATAATGCCGAACCGCAAATTAACAAGCCACGCTTGTTAAATATTACTAAAGGTTTAGGTAAAATAAAGGATATTGCTGCTGGTGGTTCTTTCTGTATGTTATTGAATGAAGAGGGACTAGTCTATACCTGGGGATATGGTATACTTGGCTTTGGTCCGTATGTTGAACAAACTTCAAAGCCACAACATTTGCTTCCGCCACTCTTTGGACGAAATGATTTCAGTAATGAAACTCACGTTGTTTCAATAGGTTGTGGAGTATTTCATATGGGTGCAATTAACTCTGATGGTGATTTGTTTATGTGGGGTAAAAATCGTTTTGGTCATTTGGGTCTTGGTCATAAAAAAGATCAATTCTTTCCATTTAAAACGGCCATCAACGGTAAAGTGCAGAAAGTTGCATTTGGCGTTGACCATACAATAGCAATATGTAAACCATTTACTTAGTCTAAGGCATTGTATATAAAAAACAACCTCTGTAGTCTATAATTATGCATGTAGAATTATATCCTAAAGTAAGTAACTAATTGATTAGGATTTATAAATAAGAAAATTGTTTTATTTTTAATTTATTTATTATAACTTTACTTTGTTAACATACATATTTTCGATTAACTAAATGAGTTACTTAAATGTCAGTTATTGAAAACCAAAAACGATTTTTGTTTAATTTGTACTTTTGGTTTATGTATAATAAAGCAATTATCCTACAATATAAACATTTCTGTATTAGTCAATTGTGACGTAGGAAACTATTTTTAATTGAAAGATTTTTTTTGTCAGTAAGAAATAAGTGATGATAATGTCAGCTTGTATTACGAACACGTTCGACGACATCAATGGATTCATCAAAAACCTCTGGATTATTTAACTAACTTTAAAATTATTGTGTTTATAGTAATTTAAAGAAAATTGTAGTAGCATAACATATATAAATATATTGTTATCAATTAATATAGTAATAAAGCGATTATGTTTTATTATAATATATATATATAATGATAAAATGATATTTTTATTTATAACTTCGAATTTTTTCATTCATTCGATTATTTTTTTATTTCCTTAACATAATCGCAGATTCGTTAACCTTTAATTCTTCTGTAAAGCTCTCCCAGTTTTTAAATACACAAGAGACTTTTAAATATCAGAACTATACATTACTTTTGGTCGTTTTCCAAAAAGTTGATATTTCATTCCCAACTTTAAACTCTTTTAAAGCTATTTCTCACAAATGGCCGTTATTTCTACTCAAGTGATCTTTGACCCCAACTCCATTTTTAAACTTCCATTTCTATGATGAACGGTTCCTCTTATTACAACATTGTTTAGTATGGAATAGTTAATTGTTGTAGCCTGCAAGGATCTACTTACATAGTTCCTTTTGGATGTGGCGGACGACACTTAATTGTCGAACTCAACGACTGGCTTCTAAATGCGTCTCCGTCCGAAATAAACTTATTGTTATTGTAAAAATTTTGTTACACCAACGAGATTAATATCGATGATTATAAGTCACTCTTAATAGCAACTGCTTCGGGTACCTTGAACTACTGGTACGCGACTAATAGTGTTTTACAGGACCACAATAGCGACAATTGTCTGTAGTTTTTTAAATAGAAAGATTAGTTTGCTGCGATAGATAATTAATTGTTGGTCATAATCTGCTCAATGGAAAGTGAGGTCTCAGGTCTCAGTACTCTTCTTTTCAGTTTGAACAATGATTTATTCTCAATTATCAATTATTATTATGAAAAATGTATAGAAATAGTTATAATTACGAAAGATTTATTTAAAACTGATATATTTGTTATCGAGTTTATCTTCGAGGTTGTTGAGCTCTTTCGTTGAATGATAAGTAGGCATTCTCTGTCGTTTAATTTAAGCGCATAACTAGTTTCGTCTTCTTAACAAGTTCTCTTCCTTACATACATATTGAATAAACTCGTCTTCAAAACTTTTTCCTATATTTCATTTTATTTCGATCTTGTGATATAAGACTGGTAAGGACCTCTCAAGGCTCATACATTCCCTTTTATGGGCTACTACTTCAACAACAAATGTTAAACATATTTTAGAATTGAAAATTGTAATTTTATTTATTAACCATTAAATAGTTTTATTCTTATGATAAACCCCTCATATTGGATAGTCAACTTCTTAATATATATTTGTGGCTTTGACTCCAAAGTTTTTAGCTTATAAATATTTTTTCATATTAAGAGAAATAAATGTTACATTTGCGTACCTTTGCAAAGATTTAATTAATTTAGTTCCACAAATCACAAATTCTACAAACTTCCATTTCTCTTTTCAGGTTTAGTTGTAATATGGGATTGAATTTGCGCTGATACAAGCAAAATTGAACTCGAATACTTAAATTATTTAATGAATATAATTATTTTGTAAATGTTTAATACGATTATAACAAAATATATATATAAAAATATTTTAACAAACATAATACAGTATTTGTAGTACACAAAGAGAAACATAAATTTTCTTAAACTGATCACATACAAAATATATATACTTTTATATATATATATATATATATATATATACTGAGTAATTAACTTAATACACGATATATTGGAAGAAAAATTATACAAATAAATTTAAAAGAATTTTTTTATATGTTTGTAGCAAATAATATTTTAATAGATACGGAAGTTGAATTCTTTTTGTAAATAAATATGTATTTGTATATATAATCTTTTTCTTATATACTTTATGATTCTCAATTACAGCTATTTTATTAACATTATTATTCAAATATTTAGGTACCATCGATTGATTATGCATATATATTAAGTTTAATTCACAGACACTAAAATCTTTTATTGAAAATTCAATTCAATTTTTGTTTTTTACAAACATATTTTGTTTTTGTTTTTGTTTTTGTTTAAAAATATTTTTATGCTTTTTCAAATAAAAAACGCAATTATTTCAATAACATAAAGTTTTTAAATATATTTGTTATAAATAATATTTAATTTTATTGGAAACATTCTTTAAACATTTCAATCGGAAAAAAATTTCAATTTTAATACGAGACAATTTACATGTAAAATAAATAATAAATAATACATATATTGTTACCACAACATTGCATACAAAACTTATTGAAAATTTTACTACATAACACAATAATTTCCAATTTAAATTTAAATTACGATTGGTTAAAAAAAGTTACTTTCAATTAACCATAGATGTCTACAAACTACAAAGAAATGCTGTGAAGCACACATGTTTTTAATAACAGACAAAAGCTTTAGTAAAATTTACTTCAATTTTTGATGATCATTTTCGTACTCCTCAATGTCCTTTATGTTTAGAAGATCAAATTCGACAATACCCTTTCCAAAGAACTGGGCAAACTTTCCAGCATCAGTTATGGGTTTGATTTCCCGTTTGAAGACTGCAAATATAACAAAAAAAGCAATATTAATGGATTTCAAAGAAATTTAGTAATACAATAATTAATGAAAAAAAATTTAATCGGGATACTGAAGATGCTCGGACTTCGATTTTATAGACTTAAAGCGTCTTCTGGTGATAAGATATCTTAAATATATTTTCACACTGCATTTTTACTCTCAACGCTTCTACAATCACTAATTTCAGCGAAATAAACGAATAAGCATAATAAGGTTCCAAGAACGGCCGGGTCAACGTCCCAGTTCCCATACGTCAATCTCGATACATAAGTATCGATACACCATCCCCAAAGAGATTTTACAAGCAGATCCCTACGGGCTTCCAGAACAACAATTAAGAATAATTGTCTAATAACCAGAGTTCGTATTTGCTCACTCATGTGCAGCTCAGGCTCATGAGCAAGAGCCAATTCTTATGTGAGCCCAAAATTGGCTCATGAGCGTGAGCCCAAAATTGGCTCATATTGAAGAGCTGCTCACCAGCGTGAGCCTTCAAGTTGCTCATATTGAAGAGCTGCTCATGAGGTCTCACGAGCCGAGAGCTCACGAGCTCTGTAGTTGGGCTCGCTCATGAGCGTGAGCCATCGTATGAAAAGAGTTTTTTGCCGGATCATGAACCGTGAGCAGATTGAGCCAAAATGAGCCGCTAATGGGTACGCAAATACGAACTCTGCTAATAACTGAGACAATTACAGCAATAGTGCTGAAATAGTGCTGCTATAATGCAAGTAAGCATAAAATAGAGAAACAAAAAACTTTGAGTGAAAACATAATAGAGTGTCTTAAGACCTCTCGAAAACAAATGTTAAGACAATAGGCACACGCACAACAGCAATAATATAAAGAGTTGAACAGTTCATAAACAATAATTAGAACCATGTGATGTTTCTATTATATACTCTTCACATCACAAACTTAAGGATTCTAACAAAAAAGTCTAACGTGTGTATTTATATCCCATATTTATTCTCAGAGGACACACAATCAAATATAAGTAAAAAATAGAAAAAGCACAGTAATATAGAGAATTTGTTCTTGCCTTCTTACGCTAGAAAATTGTAAGAGGGTGTGAAACAAACATGGACTAACAACCCTCTACATAGATGCAATTTTCTCTTAGAGATCTAGGTTGCATAGCAACAAACTTCTCTATAGGTATCCGCCTAATATCTTCGGGAATGTGTGATGCCTTTCCTGTGGCTAAGCCATATGCTAAACAATTACTTGGCACGCATAAATACGTCAAATCTTAATGTGTGCCCCAACTACAACTCGATGCCCTACGAAATCGCCCAACTATTTTCAATTCCTAATCAGACAACAATTTCAGTCTAATGATCTTGGGATCCCTCCTATTAATTTGGCTAGATTTCTTCAGTTTAACCCGGATTATCTTCAATTAAAATCCCACTCATCTATAATCTTCTTTTGTTCCCAAACAATACTCTCCTCTTTCATACTTCATATACCCAGTCATATCATTGTATATATTATCTGCCATATAGATCTCTACGGGCTACCACAACAAATGAGTTTGAAAACAACAGATGTAAAAGGGTTGAACATTAACTCGTGCTGTGTGAAAAGCATATTATATAGGTTATAACATGAATTGAACATTAATTGAAATCCAAGATGTAGTACCTATGTATATATATTTTTTATGACTTACCTCCGGACACATAATTCTCCAACATATAAATTTTCATGTCGAAACATTCATTTGCAATGCGTTCTGATATCAGTGATAAATCTGTAATTGGTGGGGTAACCACGCGCATAGTTCGGCGTACGCGTTCAGTGTCGACATTGTAGTACCCAGTGCCCATCTTTTGCATCAAATCCAGGAAGCTTTTTGGAGGTAAAGTTGTGTTATGATCCAATGGCATTATAAAGCAACGATTAGCCGTAGTATCTATAATTGCTGATTGATTCTCTTTAAAATCATGCATAAAACGTCCACGGCGACCATCCTTGAAATCTGGCACATCGACTTTTGCAATGCTCTCGTCATCTGACATATCAAATTCTATGTTTTCACGGAAGAAGTGATTATCAGATATATCGCCCAATAGTTCTTCTGCAGTAATACGTGGGAACAAGCTACGCCAGTTCAGATCAAAATCATCGGACTGTGTATAGAAACGTGGGAATGTATTGTTATCATCTACAAAGTAAGGAACCTCACAGGATGCAAGTAAATGTTTGCTGGAGTGAGATGGAGCATATGCACGATACAAAGTGTAGCCACCCAAAATACCCATCATCATAACAATCATCGAAATAAGGAATAATAAAATTGTTTTCACGCAGGATAATTGCGGAGAACGATTGAAGACCATTGACTCATTATCAACATCGGAGCTGTAATTTTGTTGCTGTAAATAAACAAAGAAAGTTTAAATTAAAACGAAATAAAGCAGAAATAAAACAAAACAGATATGAACTTTGCAATTGCAAAATTGAGGCGTATACATATTTATATGCCTTGATACCCATGACTATGTATATACATTCTTTGTTGAGTAGTGTCATATAGCTACTAAATAATTATTCATACACGATAAACAATTCAATTATCTTATCGAAAAATACACTTTAATGTGGTTATAAATGGTTTACTCACATAGACTTGAATGAACGAAATGCAGATTGGAGCAAGAAATTACATACGAAAATTACTTTGAAGGTTTAAATTCTATAATTTTATCGAAACCTTTTTGAACTTTGCAGATGATTAATACAAAACGATTAGATTCTTCATATATTTTTAAGTTTTTTGGTACACTAATCGGATAAAAATTGCTAAGAATGCAGATGCATATTTTCTATAGGGTGCGCTATCTCTTACAACAAGTAATGTACATTATAATTCAGAAAGATTTGTTTAAATTATCCACAAATGGTATTTTTACTTTATTCGAGGTATATTTACTGAATTTTTGAATATACTCTGTCTGTCCTATTAGGACGAAGAAGAAACGCCGGCTCATCTGTTATCTCACTTTAAGGCTGAAGCTTATGGGCGTTTCTGTCTTTCAATTACTCAGTAACATGTCCAATACATAATTGTACAAGTATTTACATTCAAAGTGTTTTGGTGGTTCGGAAACGCCCACATTTTTTTCAAAATTACACGGATTTTGGAATCAAAATACTTTTTTAGCTAATAGAGAAGGAATATCAACTTCTTTCACATTATCTTCCATAAAAATGGGTTATGGGTTATGACAATACCAACATTCTCTTTCCACTTTGCTTAATTATTTAAAATGCTCACATCAATCTTTGTATCTTCGATTTTACCGCTAAACAAAAAAAATCACATTCCGCAAATCACATTCAAGTGAAACTTAGTGTTTTATTTACCAAAGCTATACTTTATATGAACGTTAATTCAACAAAAGACTAAACACACCTAAGATAGCAACAATCCAACAAGTATGGTTCCAGACAGTTCCTGTGCAGTCACAGTCTCCGTTCTGGAACCACTTGTCTACATAGAGCATAAATCACAACATGGCCATTCAAGTTGGGCTACTGCAACGTTAACATCCATTAAAAATGGATATGGAAATCTTTAACAGTGGAATCAGTTTGAATAAAGACCACTGATGAAGAGTACTTGGCAATACTCGAAACAGGTTGTATGGTCAGCCAAATTTCAATAAATAAAAAATAAAAAATTTTTGTTTTTGTCTTTCTTTGCTATTCGATCCGTCTAAAAAAATTTAAATATGTGTTGTAAGCATTAGTAAATTCCACATAATTTTTTTTCAAAATAGATGTAAATACTTCTTTCTTCTTTGGTCGATGAAAAGCGAGTTAGTGTCTAAAGCACTTTTACTCAATAGTGTCAGAGACCACTTGGGTGATCCACAAGATTTTAGTTGAATCATAATAATGAGTTATTCAGATGAATAACTACACAGTAGTATAGTTTCGAGCCCAGCATATCTTTCTAATAGAATTAATATTACATTTGTTTTAAAAAAAAGAGCACACTTTCGTCTCTTAAGGCTTTATGTATATCTTCATTTTTGATACACCAAGGAACTTTTAACATTTGAACACAATATTTTGATACATTTGATGACTTCTAATGGTGATGATGAAAATACTGTGTTCAGAAATTTAGTTTTTGTTTGGAAGATGGGAAGAATCTTATACTGCAGACAAGCACTTAACAGCTGAGTGGGAAATGGTGGGCTACTGTGTGGCAAAATAACTCTAATCTAAAGGCGTTTTATATACGTTAATATGTAAGGGATTGAGCGACAATACTGAATGGTTAAACGATTTCGCTTCATATCAGTTGTTGTTGTTGTTGTTGCAACCCGCTGGGACCTATAAACAGATAACATGAAAGGATATAGGATACGATTACAATGGTGATGAAGTGGATGTGTAATGGTTGGGAATGATGGTGGGGAAATTAGGATAAGAGGTGAATGAAATCAATTATTAAAATATTTAGCATCTTGACCGTCTAATACTTTTACGTTTTGTTCTCACCGTTTTTTTTTTCTTTTAATGATATTATTTTGAAGTACTAACTGTTGAGACACATAGTGACTGTTGAGTCTCATAGTGACTGTCGAGTCACTATGGAATTAAAACTTTGCTTTTAATAATAAAAATTTTATTTAAATAAAATTAAGATTGACATATATACTCGTATAATACCTAAAGTACTCAACACTTATCTCATGAAACTTAATGTCTTCAAGTAATCGTCCAAAATCATTGATCGAAATATTTGAAATGAAAAAAAATTAAAAACCAATTAAATTTCTATATAATTAATTTCATAAAAAAGTTACGAAATTATGTATAAGAATTTAAATTGCATGGTGGTGAGGAATAAATCAATAGTTGATTCATATACTCAATTTTTATGCACTATACAAATAGTTCTTAGATTTCAAGTGGTAGTTTTTTATGTTGTTTTTTTTCTGAAAACTTAATACATATCCAATCATTCTAACACGTAAAAGATATACTGATACGTTATCATGACTAAGAAAATTTTCCAAAACAAATACAGCTAATATATAATATACAATAAAGCATATTACAACAAAGCAAGAGCGCACGCAATTAGGGCACGACGCTATCATCTCTGCACTTAAATATATTATACTTTTAAATAAAGAGTATTAAAAAGTAAAAATTATAATAAAAAATTTAAAAAAAAAATACTATTAGATACTTATTTCATAATTCGATGTTCAGGCCGAAACTCCGTCATCGTCATGAGTCTATATCCATCTCAGTGGGTATATGCCCATGCCCTCAATACATTGCCTGCATTCTTTTTTCTTTTTGCTGAAATATACAGCTTCTGGAGCCTTGTCAATGTCATGGCCTCATACCCATATCATAGTTACAAGGCCATGACCTCAGTATACTCAGTATTGTTCAATGACAATACCTGGGCAATAGTTGTGGGTAACTACTGGAATTGAGCACTGTGAAAGTATAAAATACTTAACCCTCCCAATTTCTATATTGATAGTTTATCCTACGCACATATAATAAACTATTCCACTCAATGTTAATAAATAAATCCATTAAATATAATATAATACAAATAAAGTTAAATAAATAAATCAGTAAGTTCCTAGGAATAAGCATTTAAATAAATAAATAAATTTTTATTAACTTGCTTTAGCATTTATATAGTTATATGACGGTAAACACATCAATATTCTTCTCCTAATTTTTTCTTTTATAGTAGATATACTTTTAGACACTGAAGAGCTTTTTTTGTGGTAATACAAAAATTATGACAGTATATACGAAAAGTAAACTTATATGTCACACCAGTGCATTAATGTCCTTCTCTTATTTCACATCTAGATCAGCGCCCCCCTAATTTTTTTCTTTTATGCTACACCTTTATCTTTGAGACAATATAATAATTCCGAAACCCAGAATAAGTCTTTAGTAGTGCAATCTACAGTTAAATTTTTCTAACACTATAAATGTATCATTGGTATTGTATATTATCATTGGCTTTTCTGATACAATACTTGTTAAATAGACGTTTTTATACTAGAAATACAATTATAATAGTATCAATATATAGTATAATATATAGTATAATAGTATTAATGAACGATAACTCAATTTCTGTGATAAATTAACATTGAGAGTTAATTCTTCTGCTTTAAAGTAATTAATATTAACTAGAAAGAATTAGCTACGCCAAAATTCTTCATTACCTCCAATCGCTATTTAGAAATGAAAACCTCAATGCTAAGAACAGGAAACTGATATACCATATAACCAAATAATTTGTCCGTCACTTCTATATGGTTGTGTAGCGTTTAGCAAAGCTTCAAACACTACTATTCACCAGTTAGAAATTGCACAAAGCCAGGCTCTGAGAAGACTTTTCAAAGTTCCTTGGTACATTAGGACGAATGACATCCTCAGGGACCTCAAGATTGATCCCATTAAAAAATACATAAAGGATAGAGCCCTGAAATTATTTGCGAAATCTGACAGACTTACTAACATCGCGTTATCAAATCTCAGAATGGTTACAGGCTCCTAGGGGAGATATGCAGATCTGAGGTCAATTATTGCTTAGTCTAATGAAGTCATAAACAATAATCCAGTCAAGGCGCAAAGAGGGGTTTTGTAGAAACCTCGCAGTTAATAGAGAGTAAAAGTGCTCAGGTGCACTGACTCAACTCAACTATCCTCAACATATATAGAAAGAGTTTTTGTCTTATCATTATATTGAAATGGAGATTTTCATGATTTTGATAGATTTTTATATTGAAATGCAGATTTTGATAGATTTTGATTTTAAATAGTTACAGACAAAAATATATTTCTATGTTGTCTACCTAAGTATATTTCTGTTGTTGTTGTAGCCCGCTGGAACCTAAAAGCAGATAACATGAAAGGTTTTACAAGACTAATACATCGGTTAGGAAGTGGATGGGTGAGAGTTGAAGATGGGTGAGTGAAATAAGAGATAAGAGGTAGATTGTGGATAAGTGAAATTTAAATTGAAATCAACCCGAGTACAGGCGAAGGAAGTATACTTCTTAATCAAAATGGGAGAAAATTACTCCCATTTCAATCTAATTAAACACTGATTTGTACAGCCAATGTCATTTTACATTTATTTCTTGTGCCCAAACCTCCAGCGCCTCAGACCAAACTGGAGATTTGTCATCGTCATGCCCTCATGCACTAGTTATGTAGAATGAAACGAAATTAAACTATTTATATATTTTTTCTATACTTTATTTCACAAGATTTTAAAAACTGATTTAAATACTTTTCGCGTTATTCTAAGTGAGGGGTGGGGCTTTAAGCAAAGATTAAAGTAATTAACACTAATTATTTTTGGTTTGTGTAAACAGTCAGCAACAATTTGTTTCCCTCCCGTGAAATGAATACGTGTCAACGAAAAACTAGAGAAAACGTAAATGCAATTCAAGTGTTGGGGGGAGAGGGGTTAGAACTTTAAGTCTTAATTATGTTAACTTATATGGCATATGTTTTAGAGAAAAAAAAAAAAAAGGAAAAAGAGAAAAGACGCAAAATCTGCGTATTGGTTTTAGAATTTCTTACTTATTCTTTGACTCAGCAAAAATATATTTTGTATATATTTTATTTTTAAATAAATATGCATTTGCATTTATATATGGAAGTGCTTATGAAAAGTAAACTATATATTGTGCGATATCTACAATGATTGGCTGAGGCGTGCAAAATTCATTTATTTTGCTTATGCACAGCACAACCAGACACTTGCGATAAGAAAATTGAAAAGAATTTTCTTTTTTATCTGAAATAGAAATAAACTATTTATAAACTATAATAAAATTATTTAAAATTGGGTTTTGCCAATGACATATTATGACGCGAAGTCAATAATGAAAAATAAAATGCTAACTGAAAAATATTTAACTGCGTTTGCAACAGCTCATTGAGTTACGTTCCACAGAGAGAAAATGTAAATAAAATACATGCAGAACCCAACATGAGAAAAATCAATATACACATTTGCTTGCTGCACTTGCAAGGATAATCAACATTCGATAAACACAAGGACAGTTCGTAATTCAATGACATTGGCAACGAGTATTAGAAAAATTGCAAAACCAACTAAAAACGTACTTAGATTAACGTAGATTTTAATTTATTTTATATGCATATATTCAATTTATATTCAATAGATACTTGACATTGATTATGTGTTTGTAAAGAGAAATACAATATATTTGTATAAATTCATAATTTATATACTTATAAATACATAATTCGTTGTACTTACTTGTAGTAACGATCCACGTCCTAGTTTACTGCTCTGCAGCATAGCCACTTCATCCTGTCCACCGCCTAATCCAAAAGGTAGCGGAACCTTTTCAGATTTTTCATTCACTGATGGTTTAGTTAAAATTGTCATGTTGAAATTGTCTTTTAATCTTGTCTTTTATTGTGCAATAATTTATATTTAAGAGTACTACTCAATTTCACAACAATATCAGCAAAATATACACGACAATCTTGTATACAAAATTGATTTTTCTTTTATTATCAAAATTTACTTCCCCGAGATTTTCCTCGAAGAAACTCCGTCGTTCGCTCTTTCACACGAAATAAAATTAAATAATGTACACAAATAAAGAAACACAATTGCTATATCAGTTCTGGATTTTAGGCAAACCATCCACGTAACCTCTTTCAAACATTCAATGGTGTGATTGAAAACATTTCTTTTTTTTTTTTTTTAATTCCTAATTTTTATACAACAATATCTTTGAATAATTTATTTATTAAGAAAAATTAAATTTCTATCTGCTGTCAATTAAATTCTTAAATGAATACTAAACAAGTTTTTAATGCATCAGATTTTTACTATGTTCAAACAGACAAATTTCTTTATACTATGTTCAGACACACCTTAATTTCGCGAAAATCTTAATTTTATCTTCGTTTTAGAGAAATTTATTTGTTTTTTTCACGCAAAATTCAGTTTTGAGGTTAGAACGAAATTAAAGAAAATAGCCTTAATTTTGTTGAAACGAAGGCTGAAATTAAGGGACATTTTAAATGCAACTATGCGTAAAATAAATTTTAACCAAAAGATAAACCCGAGATAACGAAAAAGTAACATTTTTTTTAAATAAATGTCAATCACATTTGACTTTAATAAAACCGCTCGCCCCTCCTGCCCCCTCTAGATTTCAAAATGTTATTATTGTTTTGAAAAAAAATTTAAAACTGTTTACAAGAAAAATTTAAAATTTGTCTTTTTAATCTTTTAGCAATTTACATACATATATACAACATACATATATTTTTTAAATAATAATTTTTCCACTTTATGCGTGCATATTTTTAAACTTCACAACCTACTTCGAATTTTTTTATTTATCTTAACATGTTGACTTGTACATCAATCACTATTATTGCTATTCCTATAATTTTTGTTTAAGTGTTCATGTACAAAGTGCAAATAAAATTGTACATATAAAAACGACTTTTTTGTGAACAAAATCCAATCTTCAAGTTTTCAGTGAACTAAGGGTAAAATATACTAGCTAATATAGCCAAAAAGAAAAAAGTACTAAAGAGGGGTACCTTAGCACACTTTGAAATATATAATAATATTATATCAGTATATCAGCGTCTCCCCTAATTTCGGCCCTGGGTACGCCCATGTATGTATAGCTAGTTATATAAACTAGCTATTAATTTCAGGGTAATAGCACATTCATCTAGGCACTTGCCCATTTACATTAATGAATTCAAAAACTGAACGTTTATCACATTATAATGATCTAATTTATGTAGCTGATACCGCTTTTATATGCAAAAAGGCATTAAAGAATTTTCGCTTGTAAAGAAAAATTTCTGTATTCTGTGAAATGTTTCATTTAAAGTGAAAAACTCGGAAAATTTAAAAAAAAATTTTTAAATGTTTGTAAAATTGTTCACAACATGAATAAAGAAATAGATGTATACAGAAAACAACATGCAATGCATCGGTTAAAATTAATAATTATAAATAAACTACAAATAGCGTTACTTCTCTTTATATGTCTATTACATATTTCATTTATTAAAACAAAAAACTTCATTAAATACTTAAGAAACTTTAAAAGCCCAACAGCTCTTGGTAGAGTAATATAATTTATTAAGTAAATTACACTTACTAAGTAAGCAGTGGAAACATACTATAATTATAATAACACTATGTGTTATAAGACTTTATATTAAAAAAATTTTTACAAAAATTTGAAATAAAAAAACTTTTTTAAATGAAAATTTACGTAAATTTTGCGTACGAATTGGATATAACTTCAGCATTTTAGAAATGAAAAAAAATGGAACTCAAAAGCTGTGCTGTAGTATAACATTGATAAGAACGCGTCAAACCAATGTCGTCTGTAGGTCAACCAACAAGAATGACAATCTTCTGTATGTAGAAAACAATAATAAAAATTTCGTACGTCAAATTAAGTACTTAACTTATACATGTTGGAATAGTTTTTGCTACAACTTGCAATATAATATTATTATTAATTTGAATAATGTATCTGAAAGAATATCAAAGAATTAAGGCTAAAAGAAAGTAATCATACACATGCTACCTCTCTATGAACGTCTTAATGCGCCGAAGCCTGTGTTGCGTATACCGTTTGGTAAAGTTGCAGCTGCTGTTGTAAGTCTGCCGTTGGGAAGTTTTACTTTTTGCGTAATTTGGTCACTACTATTTGAATTCCGTCGTTCCACATATACCCACTGTGATGTGCCTAACTTTTTACCTTCGATATCAGCAGCCATTGGCAACTATAATCCTCAAAGGACGGTTTGGCGTGTGGCGATTTGCTTACATCTACCGGCCCGTTTAGCAGTAGCTAAAATATATTGGAAATATTATCAAACTGCTATACGTAAAAATAGACGCATATTGGGTACAGTAGCATGTTTACTAAATGTGATTGAAAACTTTGCACTCTTAAGTTTATCATTGTGGACATCATCCGATAATTACAAAATTCATCGCAATTCATTCGTCGCATTTATTCTATGCAGTGAATTGTATATGTTAATTTCATACTTTCTTAATAAGAATGGTCGACGTGGTCCTCTTATTCCGATAGAAGAAAAAGCTCTTAAATATAAAAGAAATTTGTTTATCACTAATCTTACAGCGTTTTTATTAGCCGGCTATTGTTTTATGCGACACAATTCACGTTGTGAGCCTGGAGGTGAGTAAGCCACTAATCATGTAGAAGCTAGTAGATTTATAACAATATACTTGTCTGCAAACTCATTCTAACTTATAATATGTTTTCTTTTAGTACAACAGAAACTGAAAAAGTAAGCTCTGCGTAAAATAGTTTTGCTTATGTTAAAATGGATAATACATTAACAAATTAAGAATATGAAAATCATAACTAAATATTCTACCATCAACAGTTCAATGGATACATTTTTAATTACAACAATAACACTAATGCTTGCCTTACTTACCTTTAAACCAAATTAAAAGCAATATTCATATAAATTTTTATTCATATTTATATGTTATATTTATATATCATATTTATATATTATATTTATATATCATATTTATATATTATATTTATATATTATACTTTTTTATATATGTTACATTGTTAAAAATCAATCTAATACATAATTACATATATATATTTATGTTAAATAATATATATTCAGCGTTTATATAAGTTATTATAATGACAAATTATTGCAGTATAATTTTTCAGTTAAGTGAAGGTATTTTGAAGTATATTATGAACACGTCAACTCCGAATAGAATCAATAGTATAGATAGGAATATAACAAAAACAATCGAAAATTATGTCTAATTAATAATTATTTGTATTAAAACGATAAGCTCAATAATTTTTATTGGAAAAATATTAGTCAGTTTGGCCTAACTACAATGTAAGATCAGGATTATTTGCATTCTATCACAAAACTTTAATTTAACCCAAATGCGAGGAATAATGCTAGCAATGTAGTTGAATCATATTATATTGTAAAATTAATCAGGAAAATGATATAGATATAGACGACGTGACTACCTTTATTTTTATTACGCTAAGTGAATGCACATACGAATATATTTATTATACTTTTCCTACTAATTTATATTTTTTTAATAAAATAATTTACTGTTAATTTATAAAATTTATATTATATAATATGATATATAAAATATATATTTAAATATATTTATATTTACATATATCAATGATGAACTTATTTAAAAAAATTTTTAATTAAAATAACTATTGTAAAAGAAATAAAGTCTTTAAGAGGGCGTCTGATCCGATGTCAATAGTTCTTTCCGGTTAAAATCGTACCATGTTTCTTTAAAAAAATTGTCCATAATTCAAATAAAATCCGATTTCTTAGGATAGAGCTCAATTTATGTTTAGTTTTGATTATTAAATTATTACTAATAATCATTTCATTACCATTACTATTATACATACTATAATTATTTTTATTTATAGTTTATACACTTTTCGCCCTGTTTGAATATGTCGTAGTGTGGACTAACATGGGATTTCATATGACTGCTGTTATGGACTTTTATGCCTCGACTGTGATATTTGACTGGCAAAAGGGACTCTACCTATCACAGTTTTAGTCAATGAATTAAATAAGTTGGTTTTAATGTATGTTGTAAACTTACTTAATAAAATCTAGTTAAAAATGTATCGCGAATTATAAGAGTAAATTTACTTAAATTTTCGTAATAAAAATTTAGTTTAGGTAACATATTTTAAATATAACTTTAATAAATAATTAATTTATTTATTTTAAATCTTAATGTATAAATTTCATATATATATTATGATACTTAACGTTTAGATTTGATACTAGTATAAAATTCAAAGAAGATTACGTACTGTTGTGTCGTTATTAGGTTGTATCGGCGATTCATAGGGATCCATTTAGACCTATTGGCCCATTGTGTTACCATATAACGGAAAAACTCAAAGGTTTAAAACCACCTTAAATCTTTAGCAAAACTTGAAATATTATTTAAGGAATTTATTAATCATACAGTTGACCAAAATCCTCAAAAAACGACTCTCCTAGAGTAGGAGGCGGCGCTGCGCATGTGCTGAGCAAGAACAAACCAGATGAGAGGCACTTTTATCGTCCTCTCCACAACTGCAACAGATATTATTCAAAGGAAGATTCAATCTTTTAGTATGGTTTTTTAATCTGCAATAATCTGTGGGTAAGCCTACCACAAGACTGATATCTCTACGGTGCATCTTAATGAAAATATTGGATTTTTTCTATTTAATAGTATGTATACATTTCTATTAAATATATCATGCATTTTCAGAAAAGCTAATGGCGAACACTTCCTTCTGAAAAACACCACAATATTCTGGAAGCCTATAGTAAGAAGATATATTCAATCCTGAGAAAATCCTAAATCACAACTTGTTTCCGTACTTTAAAATAGTCAAACCCTTCCCGAAATAGAAATTTCCTGACAGTCACGGGAGATCGACATTGATTTTTTTGTCGGAATTCAGAGTGGGAGGGTAAAACTGACTGCACTAATGTTAAGATAAAAAAATATTGCTACTTATGATTTTTATATCATAATTTTTTAATTTATATGACCCTCTGATTAAAGCAATCAAATCTAGCTCCCCGTTGACTGTAATGTCAATTTTATTCGTTTTTGTTTATTTTTATTTTTTAAAAAATCAAAATATAAAATTAAATTTTATATGTATTTTTTTTTCGAAAACACATCAGTAAAATTGAACTATTTATTATCAATAGATTAAATTTCAAATATGTGCTACTCAAAAGTATCTTAAATCTGTTCACAAATTATCCGCTATTTGCAAAGCAAAAAAATCGTAAACATGCCGAGATTAGATCGCACAGCGGCTATGGCCATAATCTGCCCATATTGCTATACTTTAGTTATAACGCGTACACGTGCTATAATTACGAGAAAAACCCATACTGTAGCCTTGGTCCTGTGTGTCCTAGGGTAAGCATTCCACTTGTACTTCACTTGCAACATTTGATGAACTCTAGTTAACCAAGGGTTATATATATTTTGTTCAGCTTATTTTTTATGTATCTGTAGTCTAGTACATGTAACGTTATTGTACTAACATATATATATATTAATATTATATTAACTATCATTAAAGTACCAGTGGCTAATAAATGTTGTTGTTGTTTTGCAGTTTGGGGCCCCTAGCAGCAGGTGTATATTGCTTAAAGTCCATGAGAGATATTGTACATTATTGTCCAGAATGCGATAATATGATTGGAATACATGAACGGTAAGAATGATGAGTTTTATAACTGTAATGATATTTTATACAAGGTTAAGTATATACTACTGTTTCTGATCAAAGTGCTACAAGTAAGACAGCATGTATTACCAGAGAACTGATATGTCTACTTAGCACTCGAGTCATTAGCTATGTTTCACTTATATTCACTCTAACTCTTTTTTTTGTACATTGAACTCCGAGACCTGAATTGATTCCGCTTTAGTTGAAGCGGCTAACGCGTTAGCCATCTAATTTAAACCAAATGATTTCAGAAGAATATTTTTATCTACTCAGGCTTTTACTACCAACTATAGGTATTTACTCCTTCTAGATGGCTTTTTTAGAATATCTTTTCAGGACACACCTCCCTGAATAAACGAACATCATTGCAACCTCAACACTGTTGTGCTGAAACAGGATACCTTATCGTAACTGTAAAGACGAACCAGCTCTTTAGCCTGACGGTTACCTGGAATGTCACGCCAGTAGCAACTTCACTCGGTTGAAAACCATTTTTCAATCAGAAATCTAGTTGTAGAGCAACTTAATCCACAATATGGCTCCGGTTTACAGAGTTGAATGGGCAGATCCTGACCTCGCAAGACTGTCCGCGGACTAATTACCATTGATTCCTGTATGACCAGGCACCCAACAAAGCATCATAACAGTCTAACGGAAGTTTAGAGGAAAACTTGCAGGAGGATAATGCTTTGATTGCTGCTTGACCATTTGAGTAAATACAGATACGGGCGCCTTTCATCCCATTACTAATGTTGACACGAGCGCACAGCTCGATGACGTGAATCACCGGTTAGAAGACGAGATTTTAGTGTTGGGACCAAATATCCCTGCACCAACTCCTTCTTTGGTTTTTGAACCGTCGGTGTACCACGAAATCACAAGCCACTGCAACAATATGGAAAATCTAAATCTTCTAATATAGATTAGTTTGTATATCACTGGCTTAAGATTGTTGGTTTAAAACACATTTGCTGCCAACTATTTTTGGTAGAAGATAACAAGGTTATAGATTGTCAGTGAAGTGCAGCCAATCAACTCTAATAGATTTTTTGCGCTAAGACTATGTGTATAGGTATATATTCGTAGAGAATTTTACCGAATAAAAATTATAATAATTTTCATATTTTATTTAAAAAAATTTTTTTTAATGTACCATATTAAATTTTTATTATTTTTAGTTTTAATAGTCAACGCGATACGTCTATTCACGGATATCGAAGTAGTACTTATAAAGCTGCCGTGCCTCTGACTACAAAAAATAATGAAAGAAAAGCTTCGAAGGAATCAAACAAATTAAAAATAGAGGAAATTTCATATAATTACGTACACCCCTTAACTTATTTTTATTCCAAATACGGTAATACAAAAACACCAAAGAAATTTGCAGAATTGCCAAATAAAGTGCCACTTAAAATAGGTCAAGAAGATCAAAACTTTGCAAATAGTCGCGATAATTTAGATATTAAAACTAAAGTAAAAACAAAGTCTGAAAATAGAAAGGCTCCTGCTGTAGCGGGTCAGAATTTACACACAAAGTTCACTGATCCAACTAGTAACTTACATTCCAAACGGCGAACAAAAGAGAAACACTTGGGAAACACAACTAAAGAAGTTCCTAAACAGAAACAGGACATTAAAAAGAGAACAGTTTATCCGGAAATAGCCAAAACAATTTATAAACGTAAACTTTCTGCATCAGAGAGTGATTCATATATGGATAGTAACAAATCTATAGAATTGAGTAGTTCCGAAGAGATTCCTCCAAAGGTCAGAGAATTGCTAACAAATGACAAAGAACAACCACATGGTTATACCGAAAGACCGAAGAAAGTATCTATATTGACAGAACACACACCTGTGCAAAAACATTCTATAGAACTTTTGAATGGTTTTAAAATGAAACCAACGCAATCTTTAGACGAAATGAAACAAAACCAAATGGAATTATATTATAATGAATCAAAACAAAGGAAATCTGTGCCTAAAGATATAGTCAAAACTAAAGGTTACAATTTGGATGAAACAATATTACCGGTAACAAATCCAGATGCAATCGGCAATAATACGAAAATGTTAAGTAAAAACCCAAACGTTGTATTGTTCAAAGAAGCGTTTACCCAGACCACAAATGATTTAGTAGATGAGCCAGAATTAAATACTGAAGTAGGGCAAAGCGGGACGGAAATTTCAGTTCGTAGTACGAATAGTTTACTACAGGTCAAACTCGTTAAAAAGAGCCTGCACTCGGACGAAGATTACGAATTTTTATTTGAAAATTTGGAAACACCTGTTGATTCTGAAGTGTCCATTGTCACACATGACGGCTCATTTTTTTCTACCATATCATTCTCAGATTCTTTATTAGATGTGCTTTCAGACTCTTCCATCACAAGGTTTGTATACAAAACAAATCGTATTATTAAGCTCAAAAATCACATTCTTTATATTACAACTTTAAACTTCATTGTATACAGTTTCATATTTCTTTACACACGTAAAGAGAAGTATGATATACTATCTATCTATTTTGTAGTTCTAAAAGTAAACTCACATAAAACAAATTTGTAATTGAGATTTCAATTTTAGTCATAAAAAATCGCATGATTTTGTTAGTTAGATCCCAAGATCTAAGTTCAGGAACTTTGTCGCGTTCAAAGCCAATCCAGAAAGTGTTTCATAGTTTGAGGCACCGTTTTAAAAAAACGATATAACGAATTTTTCATCAAAAAAAGATTTAGATTTTCATAATTTTCAACGAAGTTCCAAAGTATCCCACTTTTAGACCAAACAGCACACCAAAAAGTGATGCAATGGTCTTTCCATAGTCACTTGTGGATTTTCATTACCCCAGATGGTAAAGTTTTCTTTGTTGACATATCCACTACAAGAAAAACCGTCATCTAAACGCTATTGTTCGGGAAGGCAATCAACGTATGTTGTGCGCACGATTAAACTACATTCTCTCAACATTATAGTTGACTATTCAATCTAGTACAATTGTATGAAATACCAGATACTGTGCATTAGGTATATGTTCTATGCATTGCATAATCCATACTCTAAAATGACAAAGCTTAAACTAAACATATGAGTTCTGTTTGACATATGTCACTAGAAGAGTGTGATCAATACAGGACCACAAAATGGCTAACCCTATAATATATTACCGTATATTATAAACTCAATGAAGTTTAAAGCATAATGTTTCACAAAATTTAAATTAGTTTAAATCACTTATTGTCATCCTATAAAACTTTTTCTAATAACAAAGACTCTTTTTGTATAATTTCACATTTTTTTATAATTTTATTTTTAGCGATGAAGAATAAATGACATCATGGACAAAAGAACCAGATAGCGTTAATGTCTTTTCGGCAACAAAATTTGAAGAAACAGTTTTCCGTTTTAAAATTTATTCCAAACTGATCATATATAAAAGAATAAATATAGTTCTCTATTTCAACATTTTTTTTTATTATTTATTAATTAACTTATCACAACGCTTTAAATACCGACATTAAATATTTTAAATTCTTTAATGTCTAAAGCATAATATAGACCAGGACTGTCCAGACTATATGTGATGTCCAGACTATATGTGATGTCCAGACTATATGACAATACAAATTACTGTACAGATTGGAGGGCCGCAGAAACAAAAACATTCGTTCATAGTTGTTATTATAAATACGGTTATAGTGTTAAATTCAGTTTTATTAATTTATCAATTTAAATTCATTTATTTGGTATATTATAGAAATAAAATAATGTAGTAGATTAAAAATATGTCGTAGGTCGCATAAACATTAGCCGCATGTGCCACGCGGGCAGTACTTTGAACAGCCCTGATAAATATAGATGCAAACCAAGTATGCCGTGCTACCAAATCGACCTGTATATATTCAAGTATACGTACCATTTGATCTGCAGACATGTATACGGTCAAATTACACCTTGTTTCAAAGAGTATAGCAAAGAGCATACTTGGTCTGAATACTTGGTGTCCATACATGTAGTATCGTCTATATCATGGTTAAGTCACCTATTCGTTGTCTCCACTCTAATTCCAAAAGATATTGCAAAAGAAATTAAAACAACTCAAATACATTAAAAACTATGTGGTGAGCAACGAATGAGATGAGCTCAGTTTGGTGAGATTGGTTGAGTAAGACGTCTACTTAATGTTTAAAATAAATATAAGAAAATTGTATGTAAATACTGTGAAAACTTATTTTGCCATAATTTTTATAAATCGTTCAAGTAATTCAACAAAAATTAATTGTAGTGATGATGAAGACCTCAATGGTCGTTATTTTCAGATATGAGGACTTTCATAGCATTGTAATTGTTTAGGCAATATTTTTAAAATGAAAATATAATGCTAATACGTAACCTTTTGCAAATTAAATTTATATAATGAAATAAAAGAACAATTTAAATTTTGTTTTACCTTACAGAAAAAATATATTATATCTTTTATTTTTGGCTTAACTATTAATACTAAATTTATTATTTTTCTATTTAATTTAAAAAGCAATTCCTAAACATCTAAACATCTTTATTTTCTTAAAATTGCGTTAGCATCGAAATTTTAAATTTAACTCAGGTTTATTAAAAACCAGCCAATTGCATGGATAGACAGGTCCATAAAAATATGGATTTGCTTGCAACTTATTAGAAACAACGTGGTTTATATTAGCGCAAAATATCTCTTTTTTGAGTTTCCGGTCATAGAGATTTTCAGCAATTGCAAGACAGATGAGTTGACCAGGCAGGGAGCTACAGATAATCACTCGGACCACCTAAAAAATCTGGGCACATCGTTGACATCAAAGAATACTTGAAGAAAATGCGAGTTGGTCATGAAATAATAAGAACCCAGTTCTCTCATTGAGATATCCCGTAAAGATATCGGTTTCACTCAGAAGATCTCTGAGTTTTCTTCATATGGTAATCAATTAGCTTAACTGAAACTATCTATTCTGAATCTATTCTTATTGGGTATGAACCTAACATTTTGTAAACATTTGTAGGGATTTATAGCTTAAGTTTGTATATTAAGGACATGTGCGAGTTAGGCTAAGTTGATGCTAAACCAAATGGGAGATTTTTTGCACTGCACACATTTAGCCATTTATCAACACGTATCGACACATGACTACATTATTGGCACAACTTAGAATTTCCCTTATTTAGAACCCAACTTAGCCTAACTCGCACACGACCTAAGCATTCATATCATATTTTGTTGAGAGCTTGTGCTACATCAAGATAAATTCCAAATCAGTATTTTAAATACTCAAAAGCTTTCGTTTGTAAGACGATTCACTTGCTCTATAATTCAATGATTTGTGGAAAATTTGACTTTAATATTTTAGCCATTTATCAACACGTATCGACACATCACTATATTATCGGCACAACTTAGAATTTCCCTCATTTAGAACGCAACTTAGCCTAATTCGAACACATCCTTAATTTACTTTCATGTCATTAACAGATATTACCCTGTTTACGGGAGTAATTGGAGAGCACTCTTTATAAAAACTATATCGATATTATAACCAATGCCTATTTTCATTAATATCGAACGATTATTAAGTTTCACTATCATTTATATTTTATTCAATGATTAATTTAATTTACTTTCATATCATTAACAGAAATTATCCTGTTTACGAGAGTAGTTGAACAGAATTTCTTATAATCATGCTTATTTTTATTAATGTCAAACAATAATTAAATTTCAGCTGATATCACATATTCTTCGATAAAGTATGTTTGGTTAAGTACACAAGTTAAGTCATAATTTCATAATAACAATTAATTGTGATTATTAACCCCCATAAATTCATAATCATACATAGGACGTGTGCGAGTTAGGCTAAGGACATGTGCGAGTTAAGTTGCGTTCTAAATGAGGGAAATTCTAAGTTATGCCAATAATGTAGTGATGTGTCGATACGTGTTGATAGATGGCTAAATGTGTGCAGTGCAAAAAATCCCAAAAAATCTTCCATTTGGTTTAGCATCAACGTAGCCTAACTCGCACACGTCCTTAAAATACAATTTTAGATTTCTTTGTTTTTCTTTGAATAATGCTTTTAAAAATTTTAACTCTAAAGTTTAGTTTTTAAATGATTCTAAAACTGAACAGACGTGGACATTCAGAAAATAGACGTTAAAAACTTAAATTTGTTTTATTTATTTTTTTTTGGTGATAATACCAATTAAAAATATAATTTACATACATCGGTCGTGTGGGAGTTTGAGTAAATTTAGGTAAAGTGAATTGAAATTTCAAAGAGATTTTTTGCACTATACTTATGTAAATATTTATTTATTTACTTATTGCAATTATTTATTATTTTTGGTTAAAAGTTTTCAAATTTATTTATTTATTTACTAAACATCTTATAAAATTTTTACAATGGTAATATCTAATTTACTTAATTTTTATCTAATTTACGCTACTTGAAATACCAACAACACTGCCATACCGACAATATCAACTATTTCCCTCAATTTACTATCAACTTACTCGAATTCACACACGGGCATCATATGATATTTTTATAAAAGCTTAATTTGATTTATAGAATCACAGAATATAATTTCTGAGTGTTTTTGGCAAAAAGCTTCCAACCCCAACAATTGTTTGACAGCTGAACAACACCAACACAAGAATGATGAAGTTTTGAAAAACAATTATTTACATGCTACATAAACAGTAACTGTTTTTTGGCATAATGAAACACGGCACAGAATAACAAACTTGTTAGTTTGTTAACATTTTATAGCTGATAGTGAAATTCACGGCAGATATCAAACGTTCAGGTTGTGTAACGTATTGTAAAATACTACAAAATTGGGAAACCACGTTCATATATGCTTCCAACTTACAAACGCCTTGATGGACAGAAACGTGTGGCACAGGTTTCGTTTAAAAAATTTATATCCATAGTACTCAGTCTGCCGCTGGGAGGTTTTACTTTCTGCGTATTGTGGTCTTTAATATTTGAGTTTGAACGCTCAACTCGAACACATTGTGATGTGAGTAATTTATTGCCGTCCTTATCAGCTGCAATTGGAACGTATGAGCCACAGAAGACTATTTGGCGTCTTGCCATATGCTTACACATGCCGGCCCGTTTGATTATAGCTCATTTGTATTACAAATATTACAGAGACGTCCTATACCCTAGTAGGCACACTTTGGCTAAAGTGGCTTATGCGTTGAATGTTATTGAGAATTTAGCATTGGTCAGCTTATCGTTGTGGACATCAACCAACGACTACGAAATTCACCGGAACGCATTTGTAACATTTATTGCGTGCAGTGAATTATATATGCTTATAACATATATTCTTAATAGAAATGGAAGAAGGGACGCACTCCTACCTCATGAGAATAAGTCAAACAAATGGAAAGGTTATTTATTTATTATAAACTTGACAACCTTTTTGTTGGCTGGGTATTGTTTCATACGCCATAATTCATATTGTGAGCCTGGAGGTAAGTAAACGTTACGAAAGTGCTTCAAAGCAACTTTTTTTCTAAAGGTTTTTTTAATATTCATTACTAATCAGAAATCTCATAAATATACTTTTTATTCGACTAAGGGCACTTACAGCTGATAAACTGTAATTAGGTCAAATTAACTAAAATTGAATGTCGGTCGTATTAGCTGCTACACTCACCATTTAAGTTCATATGTTTAAGGTAAAAAACAAGAAAAACAATCTGGAATTAAAATGGATAACATTTTGGCTATTCCTTATTTTCATTTTTTTTTTTTTTTGGATACCATTTCAATAAATACTAAAATCCTACAAATTGTTAATTTAATAGTGAGTTCCAATATTTCTCTAACATTGCTTTGAATTCATATCGCTTCACAGTGAAGCGTGCTTTCTTGGAAAAAAAAGCGATTTTCAGTCGAAAAAAAACCATAACTTTAGCAATTCTCGAATTGAATTATTTGTATTATAAAAAATAAAGATTACTTTTGAAAATATATAGGCATTAAAAATTATTAACTGTTATAAGAGTTTTATGAGTTCCAAGAACATTCCGCAGCCACTAGTCGTTATCAACGACCAAGTACCCTTCAACAGCTTCCAAAGCAGGTCCCAACTGGTTACAACAACAACAACATTAAAATTTATACAATGCTTTGCACTTATACTATTTTAATTCATTCATATTTGAAAAAAACTTCTAAACAATTTATTATTTATCAGAATTCTTGTATATTCATAAAATAAATATAAAAAAATATATAAATAAAAATATTTTAAATATTTTTTAAAGTACGCGTATATTTGATATAAAGCTACGAATTAATGTAAAATATACATATTTGAAATATAATTATAAAAATTATATTATATACTAGAATTCAAAAACTTCTAAGACTTTCTATATAATATAATAATTTTCGATGTATATGTATTAAATATAGGTATACATTGAAAAATATTATATTATATTTTATTATATAGAAGATCTTAGAAGTTTTTGAATTCTGGTGAATAACAATATATATATATATATACAATAACATAATATATATATATATATATAGTATATATATATAGTCTGAACTATATGTTCATTAAGAAATTAAGCACATTAACTATAATTTACATCAGTCTATAAATTATAAACTAAACTGCTTCTCCTTAGTAATTCCAGTATTGCTAAATTAGTATTCTTAAATTATAGAAGTTTTTGAATTCTAGTAAATAAAATTTTTTTAATTATATTTCAAATATGTATATGGTTCAATAATAGGTTCATATCAAATATATGCGTATTTTAAAAAATATTTTCTGGTATTAAATAATAAATTCGTTAGGAAATTAAACACATTAAAAATAATTAACATCAGTCTATAAATAAAAAACTAAAATGCTTCTCTTTAGTTATTCCAGTATTGTTAAATGAGTATGAGTTTCTTAAATTAAATGCATCTTAAAATTAACAACCCAAGTAATTAAAGTACACATTAAGAAATACCGATTGTATTTCAGTAATATGTATATACAGCAAGTGTTTCATTCATTAATATGTTATTATTTTATTAAACCTTATCCCCTAAAGATTGTTTTTATTTTAATTTCCGCATAGTTTACACTTTCTTTGCAATATTTGAGTATATTGTGGTTTGGACTAATATGGGCTTTCATATGACTGCCGTTATGGATTTTTATGCGTTGAAAGTGATTTTCGATTGGAAGCATGGAATATATTTATCAAATAAAAGCTAGCAGTTACTTTAACAATACACAAATATATTTATTTTTTACAAATCTATAGTTTTTATAAATGTAATTAAATTGCACAATTCTTGTTATAAAAATAAGTTTTAATAAGTTTTTATTTTTTTATAAACAAACATAAAGTTTAAATGTAGAAAATTCTATTCATTGATATCCAAGTATTTTATAAGCAAATTTATTTTAACATATCAAAGTATTGTAAATGTTTAATACTATTGTAAAGTTATATCTTTAAGATCACATATCCGTGTATATAAATTTGAAGTCCTACTTATAAAACCTACTTAGTAAATATAAATATAATTAATTTTAATAAAAAATGTTATGTTCAACCACATTAATTTTATTAAATTTTGTTCTGTACTAAAATATTTGCTGATATTGCGTTGTATTGCCAAATTAGAACAGCATGTGATGTATAAATCTAATATTTATAGCATTGGACCAAATTATACTAGTTTTGAAGCTTTGTATTAACTATATAACAGAAAGTTCATTTTAAGCGCTTTACATCCATTTTTCACGTTGTGCTATATTTCATAAATTCTGACTAAATCGTCCAATGCAATAGCATATCCAGATACTGGGCATGTTGAATTCGTTTTTAAGTGCAAAACAATACATTTCCAACAGTATACAAATCCAGATACTCCACACGCTGTTGGTGTTTCCAATTTCATTAAACAAATAGGACAAGTACCTGTTGGTATCGTATCGGTTCCTTTCTGATACGACTGATTGTTTAGTGCAGGCGGATTTTTTAAAGAACCACCAATTTTTCGTCTTTGATCATTTGAATACCACCATTGTACAAACTGTAAGAAAAATGCCAATACTTCAAGCAGTTTTAGGAATAGATCTGTAGCTTTATCCTCCTTAGGTAAATCTAATGGATATCTTAATGTCAACTTTAAAAACCGGAATATTGGTGAGTGACTGGATGAATATTTAATTAAATAGAGGAATGTGTTTACTGCTTTTGCTGCTGTATAAAAATGTAAGCAATTTAATAGGTATTTTTCAAATTTAGATATATCTTCATGTTGTGCACGAGTTTTTAATTTTCGCTCAAAAAATGGCAAGAGTGTCAGTATGGTTGCTGACGCAACTTGTTGTGGTCTAGTGAGCGGATCTCCAGTTGCGGTTGCAGTGCGTTGCAATCCATAGAAACTTTCGCCGAAAGAGGAGCCACGATTGCGTAAGTACATATATTGCAGCATCCAAGAAATTATTGGTGATATTTCCTCGCGTATTTGAAACTTGCCCCAAAGCTTAAAGTCCAAACGTAGACCAAAGTAATCAAACACTTTAGTTAGAGCAGGATAGATTAGATTATCTAAAGTTTCAGCAGCTGTGATTTCAAAAATCGATGGCACATTTTGTAAATTCTGTCGAATATTTGCACTTTCAGCCATTATTACACTATTTACTAATTTCAATTTTGTTTACTTTCAACTTCGGCAGTATCTATGTATAATTCCATTGCCAATTTAAATATCGATCGTACAAACAACTCTGTGTTTGATGTGTCAAAATCAGCCGGTTTCGTTGTTGTCTATTTTATATCGATAATTTTTATGATATTTTATTAATTTCTTAAATAAAGAAGCGTGATTGTTGTTATTTTATTTGTATATCAACAAAACATAATTTTAAATAAAAAATTAATATATTTTAAAGAAATTGCAAAATTTCAAAATGAAAAACTCCGCAACCTCAACAGATGAAAACGCTAAATCGAGCCAAAATAAATCGAACAAAAAACAAACAAAATCGCGCTCAAAATCAGGCAAAAGTGAACAAAATATCAATTGTAATTCCAAATCAACATCGGGAACTAACCATTTAAGTAACAATAGTACAAACTCACTACATACGAATAATACAACACAAACGCATAAAACTAATGCATGTGAAGCATCAAGTACCCTTACCCCTGTAAACGGAAATGCTCTAGAATCTTGCAATAAAGTATGAAAAAATTAATATAAATATAAAGTATGAATGCAGTATCTATTTAATTAGGCACATAAAAATTATACGGGTATAGACGCAAATTCTGTGAAATTATTTTGGGATCAGTATGAATACACTACCTCAGAGATGTCACCTGAAGTTTTCACAAGTGTGGCTGAAAGGGCATCGTATATGCTTTGGACAGTTGTGAATGTAAGTATAATCAATCGTATGGATTATATACATCTTTATTGAAATATATGTTAAAACAAGACTTTTCTTAATTTTAGAACATTAAAATTTATTCACGTAAATTGGGATGCAAAGCTTCTTATAATATAGTTAACGATGTTTTAAATGACATGGACCTTCCTCCTGCATTAGGTGCCTTAGATGGTGACTGGGAACTTTTCAATCACAAGGATAATGATTTATTTTTTATGGTAAGTTTTTAGGTGTGTAATAATACAATAATTATAATACTGATATCAAAAGGATAAGATGATTGAACTTCGTGATGAGTACCAAAAACCTATAGATATTCCATTGGTCAGTGATCCAGATTTTATTTCATCTTGGCGTACAGATGAAGACTATAGGGTATATTTTAACAAATACATAAGGAGTCTTATTTTTGGTAAATAACTTAAATTGTAATACTTAATTTGCATTAAAGTACTTGTCTTTAATACAAATGTGAAATAGTTTATAGTATTTTTTTCTTATATTATTTATCATTGCGCATGCAATAGTTAAAATAGTTAGAAAAATTAAATTTCTTAATCTTTAATTTGTATAATTTAGAGTTTTATTAATAAAATTTTTATTTTTTTTACTAGTTATATATGATTTTATATTTAAAGCAATAACGTTTCAAATAAGTAGCATCGTTCAAATAGCCTTACTAATATACATATATGTAATATGTAATATATAGAACATACTAATAAAAGTACAGCTTTTTATTTTTGATAGTTGCGTTCGCATCTTTTGTAGTCTCAATTTAAGATATGTTTGTAGCGATATTTGCTAAATTGATCATTATAGTAAATGATATAAAGCTGTGTTAACCAGCGTTTGTCAATTGTCGTTCCATAAAATAATTTATTTTTAACTTTTATGATATTATTAGGTACTCATCTAAACTAATAAATGCCCTATAAATCTTATAAACGTATAAATTTATCTGCTTGGTAAATAAAGTGTCAAATTTTGTATGAAAAATAGTTTATACAAACTTGATAAATTTACACCAAAATTTTACTTTTTAGTTTGAACTTTTCGCTAAATTCCGGTATTTTGTTTTATAATTTATTGATAGGGACAAAGCTGATCAATAAAGTTTCCACAAACATTAAAAATCACAACGATATTGGGTAAAAAAATGGCACTGCTGAGCATTGCATTTTGTGCTGTCATAATTATTACTGATATAAATAGTGCTATTATATAGCAGATTGATAAATTTACACAAATAATTCACTAAGTACGTTCATATAACCGTGTACGAAAACGCATAAAATTACACATTTAATAAATTTATATACTTAGATGAGTACCGCTATTGGTACTGATCTTAACCAAATACATTAAGTACTTTTCTGATCCGCCGTACGTTATGGGTTAAGAAGTTCTGATATTGACGATCGTGCACAAAAAAGTGTTATTTTTTATTTTTGCTTGCCTTTTGTATTTTTATTTTTTTTTATTAATACTCGTATATATCAACTTTTATCATTTATCTGAGTTAATCGTTTTTATTGCATTTGCTATTTTGTTGCTGTTAGCTTTTGTAGTAACATACATATATTAATATTCAGTACGTTTAATTATGTTCTAATTAAATTTTTATTTTATTATAATATTTAGAACTTTGCCAAATAAGTAGTTGTATCATTAATAACACTTTAGACTTTTCTTCTTTTGTAAATCAAAGAAACTTTTGCTTTATAAACTTTAATTTATAAAGTTGACTACAGGGGACCACTATTAATTGGGTTTATACATAAAAACTTGACATATACAAAAGCTTAATAAAACCGATTATATTATTATTTTATAAATCATATTCTTGACTATTTCAAAATTGCTTTTTAACTCAATTAACAATTACACTATGTTAAAACTAATAAGATCTAATAAGAATTGTTGATAATATCGGGTTTAGTCACAATCACAACACACATATTTCTAAACATACATATGTTTAAATCTAATTATTTGAAATTCTGTACGCAAATACAAAATACATAATCAGTGTTATTGATATTGAAATCTTTTAATATATGTATTGTATCATATCTATACTTTAAAAAGCTATTAGAAACACATAGTCCTAATATTCTGACAAAGTTTGGCTACAGTTCAGACTACTCTATCTGGAACAAAATTTACACCTTGATATATTAATTTTTATTACTATGCTTAATATGTATAATCTTACAACCTATACTAATCATAAACACAAACAGTGTCTGTTGGCCATTATTTTAAATTTATTTTTGTTTGCGACAGATTTGTTCCTTTAAACCTCCCGAAGCACAATTTAATCGCAACTCTAATGCTTAGTGTTTGCTCTTTTGTTCCATGTCCATTAGGAATTGAAAACGTTCAAATTCAACAACAAAAGGTAAATAAGCATCACTAAAAACTATGTTTTTAAAAAATAAACCAAGTTGTTTTGGTATATTTATACGACATAAGTATTTCCGCTAGGTAAAACTTTATGATATGCATAAATTTTGTATTAATTTGAACTCATTTGATAAAATGACAGATTTTAATATTTTAAAACGGTTTAATTAGACAGGGAATATTTTGATCGAGAGCTTTCAAATTTTACATTTTCTTAAGATGACTTTTACCAGGTGTACGCACACGTTGTTTTTTGGTAAAGAAAATATGTAATTTTCAAAGGGAAATAATTTTATGTTCATTCAAAATATTGAACATCGATTACTACACATTTCATCCATCTTTTAGGTATTTAGGAATGCCATGCCAGAAAACCGGCTTGTCTTTTGCTGCAAACCATTAGTCTAGCCGTTTTCCAACTTCCTCGAAGTTGATAAAATGCTGCTCTGCGAACGCATGCCCGATTAATGCGAAGAGGTGACACTTAGATAGTATCAAAATGTAGGTACTGAATATGTCGGGAGCGGAAAGATCTTCCATCGAAACGATTTTAAGGTGTTGTTCACTGCTTTTGCTGTGTGAGACCGCAAATTGCTGTATAACAAAATCACTTTTTCTTCTGGGTCTTCTGGCTCATTCCGGTCGTCTTTCGATCAATGACTGATTTAAGTTAAACTTTTATTGGTTACAGCTTTCTTTCGACGGGCTTATAATGGTGAAGAGTTCATAATAGACAATACCGCTCTGTTTTTAACAGATATAAACCATGGTCTTGTTGCCGAAGCGTTACGGTCTTGTTGCTGAAGAACAAGCATTGCTAGGTGAAAGCAACGATTTTTTTTAATTTTGAATTTTCAAAATAAAGCTATTCTTGTCACCTGTCAAATTCCAATCTTACGCGGGTAGAATGATTATATTCATTTACAATCATTCTTTATGCAGTTTCATTTTACAACCGGGTATTGTGACCCAAAGATCAGAAAAAGTGTTAGATAGGACTCGTTCCTCACCAAGGAAGAAGCTAAGCTCAAACACATAACTTCAACTGGTGCCGGTGGAATTCCTCGGAGTTCCAATAGGGTGTTCATTGACGCCATATGCCGACGCGTGTGAGAAAAACATCGTGGTTTATCCACGAAAATTTCTGGAACTTCATGACTTTGTGATTTTCCATATGATGTCCATTCAAACCGTGTGGGACCTATTTACCCTGTTTTTTGATCTTCACCATTGCACGAAACTGTCTGCCGATTGCTTCTTGTGACACATTTAATGCTTTTGTTAAACGCTGTTGAGTTGGGTTATTATTCAATAACTTCTGCAATTGCTCGTTTTCGCACTTTTGTGTTCTAACAGTGCTCACTGTCTTTCACATAGAAATCACCATTTTTAATTGATAGAAACCATGTCTCACATGTTCTTATGATGATTTTTGTCCGCCTTTTTCTTTTGATTCGATACAAGACAAGACATAATTATTGAACGATTGAACAAAGATTCTAGGTTTTTGGTGGACCCGACGCTTCGCACTTTTCGCTGGGGCCTCCAGCCACTACCAGTTAAACTAGAAAGAACTTATGCATACACCTGGTATATATTATAAAAAAAATAAGTTTATTCAAAAAAAAAATTAGTATTAAGATATATATCTGGTAATAAGAGCTCGAAATGGTAAAGGGTGTATATAAATTGACTTATAAGTGCTAATAGCTAAAGTTTGTAATATTATATATAAGCTTGATTTTCGTTAGGATAGACAAACATTTTCCAAAACTTAAAACAAAAAAGAAACTTCTCATAATGGGTGGACGGGTTTTTAACTGCAACTTATCTTGCTTTTTTAAAAATTAAGAACTAATGAAATTATAACTTATAGCAATCGTATTATCACAAATCAAAATTCTCAGAGACAAAAAGGACGCAATTGCATGCATTTATGCATATTAAAAGATATACTATGTACATATGTATATTTTTTTTTGAAACGTTTTATTTTTTTAAAGTAAGAGTAAAATAACTGAAAATATTTTATCATTAAAAAATAAGTAAATTTTGAAATACAATATATTTTAAATAATTTAAAATTAATACTACATCTATTGTTCTATAAATCATTTCATGTTTTGTTAATATATCACAGTTATTTTATATGGTGACTCCGAGGCGTTTAAAGATGCACTCTCCGAAGCTGCATTTGCACCTCTCATTGGCCACTGTTATCGTGTTTTACTAGGAAAAGTTATACAAATACTTGCCTTTAAGCAGAACGACCAAATCAGTGAGCGCAATTGGCGTTTATTACGTGCTTGCGCTAGTAATCCCAATACGAGGGAATCTCAATGCCGTGAGGAACTATTTAATTTGGCGGAAATACTCGTTTGCCAATTATTGGGTCCATATGAGAGTATTAAAATACACGATAATCTAAATGTAAACACACCACCATTGATTGATTCGCCAGAAGTGGAATTTGCAAGCGACGACCAGGATATCTGTGAGCGAGATGGAGAGAGTGATAAAATTATAGTGGAAATTGATCTTACAAGTTCTGATAGTATGGAGCAAATGGAATTGGAATGTGAAATTAATCCACAAGAAGATTATATTTATAAGTTGCTAACAGAAGATGATGATGAAAGCAATGATTGGAATTCGGAACTATTTGATAATGAAAGTGAAGACATATCACAGTATTTCGCCACTCCTGCCACATTAAGTAGCGTAGACGAACTTTGCGAAACTATTGGATACTTATCAAATAGTAGTGGATACTTTTATTCAGAGTGTCTGTTCCATATCAAACGAAGAATGGAACGATTCTTTTATTTCCGCAACGTTAGCACAGAAAAAGGTTAATACTTTTGTTATACAGTTTTAGATTTATTAAATTTTAGTAGCATTAATTCCATCACTACTACAAAATATTCAATTTTATAAAGTTTCAATAAGTACATCTTTTCAATTCCAACCGGAATTTACAATATAATTGGTTACTCAAATTATTCCTAACAATTTAAATTTGTTAACTGATTTACATGTGAAAATATTAGGGACAGTAATTCTTAATTTAAACAAATATTTATCATATACATATGTACCCACATACGAATACACAATTATTTGTTTGTAGTAAATGTATATGAATATAATTTTGAGACCACGGTTGAACAGTTCCCAGGAAAACCTACGTTTTTGGTGTGCAGCAAGCAGTGCTTTAGCTCAATTGAGATCAGGATATAGCCATGTGCTAAACAATAACTTATGACGCATATACGCGTTAAATCCCAATGCTTGAGAAACTGCAGCTCTACCCTCATGTAGTATCCCATCTGTCTTCCTGACCCAACACGCACACAAATCTAAATCCAATCGACCTTAAGGCCCGCCTCATAGAACTGGCTAGCTTTGTCAGTCTTGATTCTGGTTGGCTTTAATTTAAATCTCATTCATCCTCTTATCCAATCTCACTTCCTAATTATCCCCTCCACTCTCACACAACATAACCTATTCACATGCTTTCCCATGTATACGCAATGTACTTCTTTTCCTTCTTTTCTTTTCCAAAAATGACCATCAAAATGATCATTTTCATTTGTGGTAGTAAAATATTATGCATAATTTTAATAATATTATTATATTTTAGAATACACATTTATAAGTCGATTGATACGTGGACTGATAGCTTTAGGCGAGTTTGCCTTCCGTGAATTCATCCCTTACACCTATAAATTTGATAGCGAAAACATTCCCGAGTACTTATGGAGCTATTTTCCTGTAATTATTTTAATAAGTTTTAGTTTATTGTACTAATTTTTCTCTTCTCCAACACAGCAAGCTGCAGTATTTCTTCGTGGAGCCAATGACATTTTTATTTACGAATGGTTGAAGTCTATATGCGGTATGGAGGAGTTACAACCCTTCATGGTTTATAAGACTCGTACGTAGCAAATTTTGGAAATTCATATAAGCATAAAAAAAATTAAATAAATTTGCGTTACAGGTTTCATTACGAGACTATTGGCACGTAACGTAGGCCAACGTAAAAAGACTTCATATCACATTGTACCGAAAATAGGTGTGCGTCGTTTAGAGACCGGTTCTAAATCTGACCTTGCAATAGTTACCGATGTAATGCTTGAACCGACTTTAGATGAGATATTCCCTAAGCCTACATTAACTGATTTCTTTCCTGAATTAGCTTCAAGAAATACAAGACGTAGGCGTAGTTCAATTCGCTTTAAGTTCATCAGGTTTCGTCCTATTCCCGTGAAACCTAAAACGACAAAACCAGAGCAGCTACCACAAATAAAAACAATATCAACAAATCACTTTAGTTTCAGTCATTTACTTAACATAAATAATAACACACACAATCATCATAATCATAATTACACAAACTGGCTTAAGCCACAAGATGTGCTACTTGGGAGGCGAAGGTTATTGAAGCCTATTTCTAATGGCCAGCGGCCATTGCCCTTGGGTATTTATTTAACAAATAATATATAGATTGTTAAGACTTATGTAAAATAAAATCTGTTTATTAAAATTAACGTAATAAAATAATGCACAAAATTATTTTACATTTCTACTAAAAGAAATCATCCGTAGTTTTAGCTTTAATCTGTTCCATATCTTTTAATATTTGCTTATTAATTATACCTTTGATATTTGCATTTACATTTGGCAGCAGTCCTCCAGTACGAGCAGCGTGTTCGATGCGTTGCACTACACCAATTTCTCGTCCCGATGATATAAAATTTGTGACTACAGATTTGGAAAAATTTCCTACTCTACCAATTCGTCCGCAACGATGTATATAATCAGACACATGTAATGGAAAATCGAAATTAATAACGTGTTGTGCCCTTTGTGTGTCCAATCCTCTACTACCAATATCTGTAGTAGATAGCACATCACACATGCCTTGCTGGAACTGTTCGAAACGACCAAGCCTTATTTTCATTAGCATATCACCATTAAGGTTAAGACAATTTACGCCACTATTATTCAAAAAAAGTGATATATAATCACTCGTGGCTGATTTATTACTAAATATTAATAGCGGATGATTTTTCGATAGCTCCCTTTTAACCAAGTTCAGTAAATTGCTGGGACGATCGCCTTTATTCATTCGTAAAAACCTTTGTTCAACGTTAGGCTGTAATTTGTGCAAATTGGGACTGACAACTTCTTGAATTGTGGTCACATCTATTACTTTATGCAGTAATTCAGTTATATTAGTGGGCATGGTTGCTGATGCCAACAGCATTTGGGTTCCCACTGAGCGTTCATTTTGCAAATGAAACTGTCGAAATATAAATTATTTAAAAATAAAACATAGTTTGTTGTAAAAAATTATATAATACTTACTGGAAACTTTTTAAGAAAATGACAAAGTTTATCGGAAAAGCTATCGTCCAGCAGTGTATCTGCTTCATCTAACACAACACATTGTACCTCCTCTGTACGATAAATGCCTGTAGTGACTAACTTACTAAGCGCACCAAATGTAGCGATTACTATATCAACGTCCTTAAACTCTGGATTCATCATCAATTTTTTTGTGTTGCCTCCAAGTATAGTTTCTATTTTAATATCAGTCCCTTTACACAGTTTTTCAGCAACCATACCAATTTGCGTTGCCAATTCACGTCCAGGCGTTAAAATAATTGACAATGGCGTATTAAATTTACGATTGTTCATATTTGTGGACTTTTTATGTTCAATTATTTTTTGCACCACTGGTAATAGATAAGTTAAGGTCTTTCCGCATCCCGTCTCGGCAGCTATGATGGTGTGATCACCAGTGAATATTTTAGGTATGCCAGTCGACTGTATGTACGTTAATTGCTTTATATCAAATTCTGTCTTTAGGTTTTTTATTAATTCCGAATTAAATTCAATTGTATTGTCTTGAAGAAATGTGTCCAAAGACAGCATTTCTGTTTGACGTTGCTCTTCATCTTGTGTGGAGTTAATTATAAAAAAATCACCCTTAGATTTTCGGTGTTGCCATCTGTTGGATGCAAGAGGCACACTTCCAAATTTACTATCGTCTACATGTCTATCAATATTGAATTCCGGTCTCTTACAGCTAATAAGCAATTGCTGTCCAAATTTATTATTTGGACTTAGTTTCGTTTTAGCAACTGCTGTGACATAACAACGCAACGCTTTGATTTGAAAAATTTTCGTATTTAACATTTTCAATATTTGCTATAAGTACTTAATATTAGTTTATTTTTTAAAGGATTAGAGCAACAACGTGGACACGCCAAACATGCCAAACAATCACTAAGTTAACAGTAGCTCGAACATAACTCTAAGACAAGCAGTTAATATTTGAGATACTACTGACAAATTCTTAAAATCAAATTAAATTGTATAATTTATGAAATATAAAATTAAAATAACCGCACGCTTATACTTCCAACAACAGCTGTAAACAATGTAAGCAATGCTGCTTAACAGCTGATAGTTTTTTTCTGATCGCCAGAGAATAAATAAGCAGAATGGAAATAACTTATTTTTACACCTTTCATGTCATTGTGTGTGTGAAACGCTTTCGCATTAGCATTTCCATATGCATCAATTATCATTTTAATTTTAATGAAATAACTCCACAATATGATTAATAGTATTTCGGTTGTGTGTAAATTTCGATTTAAAACCACAAACAATTGGTTGAAATCTGAATGTAATGTAATATCGTTTAAGTTTTAGTTATTATAAATTTAATATTAGCCGTGATTTTTTTATTCATACTAGCAAAAAAATACTTATAACTCACAAAAGAACGCATGTGAAGCAACAACAATACTCTTAAAATCTTTAGAAGGTGTATGCTTTTAACATGAATGCTCTAATAGAACACGTGTCACTTCAAAATTAACGTGCAAAGCAAAAACAAAATTCGCAATAATAAGTCCATTTCCGTGAAACTGCCTAACGAATAATCAAGCCAACTCACATTACAATGGTACCAAATCTTAAAACTGCTCTATTGTGAATAATTTATGGAAAAATATGGAAAAAAATTCCAATCAGATGACAAAGGAGTTTCTTTGTTATTTAGATAATTTTATAAAAAAGTTTTTTATGTAAATATATATAAAATGAATCATACAAAAAAGTTATTGGTGAGCATTTCATATTGTATTTGAATTTATATAAAAGTACATGATTGGACTTTATCCATGATAACGAAGAAAAATAATGAAATAAGGAGAGAACGGCGCATTGACCAAATATTTAATATTTTTGATGGCTCAAGATCTTAAGAAGGCAATACAAGATCGTTAATAAATTCGTTAATATAATTTTTAAACTTCTAATATCAGGTCTTTTCTATTCACAAAAGGACAACCGCTTATTTTAAGAATAAAATATAAAACAACAACACTTAACGCTTAACTAATGAGTAGCTCAAATCGCATGATTGCCAACACTAAAAATTCATCTATTGTGAACGACTTTTGCAAGTACCTACAAAATCTCTAACAAATACGTTACTTTTTCCATTTATTATTTTACTGTTAAAAGGCATGAAATTCACATTTTATTCATTATCATGTAAAAAAAAAATATTTCACCAAACAATTATTATTGATTTTCAAAATTTTAACTTAAAATTTTATTGTGTATTTTGCATATATAAGTCTAAAAAAACTTTCATTTTGTCCAGAGTTGCCATCGTAGTAGTGCTTATTTTATTTGTTCTTTTGTGACATGTTTACAAAGAATAGTTGACTAATGCTAAATGAGCAGTATTTAAGATTGTTTTAATTTTATGCAATTGTCTTATCACTTTTTGCTTTTTTTATTACAATCGTGTTTTGTATTTATTTATGTATTGCATTTTTTAATTTTTTAATGAATTAATATATAATTAATGAATGATTTCTTTACAATTACTAATCTCTTCAATAAAATTACTTATTTAAATTATTTAAATTTATTCATTAAAATTTGCAACAGTTATAAATAATAAACAAACTAAACTGTTAATTGACTGGAGTTTTTCCTTTTCTTTCAGAAATCATTCACAATAGAACAGTTTTAAGATTTGGCATCATTGTAATGTGAGTGGCTTAGCTTATTCGTTAAGCAGTAGTTAAGTAGGAAAGTGGACTTACTACTAATTTTGTTTTTGCTATGCATGTAAATTTTAAGGCGACACCTATTCTTAAACTATATGGTCTCTACTAAAAACAAAAATATCATAGTGGCCATTGGTTGGCCACCACTGATATAGATGATGCTACATGTGTGCAAACCATGTATGCATGCTACTTGGTATGCGTGTATATTCAGGTATGTATTGGAAATTTCGGTCTGCAGACAGATGTTAGGTAAAAATAAAACTTTTTAATTATTTTTCGTTGAGTCTGCACACATGTTTGCTTCTGTATATTGAAGTCAGCAAATCTTTAATTATTTGAAAAATTTGGTGAGCGTCGGGTGAGCGAAGATCGCGGGAAAAGTTATTAAATAATAAAAAAAGTGAAATTTGGAAAAAAGTGGTAAAAGCAATTATTTTGTTTGTGAATAAAAATATTAAAATGAATTTTCCGCATAATAATATTTATAAGGAATTGATTGAAGACTTCAAAAGCGAACGCTGTTTGTGGGAAGTTAAAAGTGATGCATACAAAAATAAATATTTAAAAACGCAGGCTTGGAATAAGTTATTGCAAAGGTACAAAAAAACTTTTCCAGATGCCACATTAGAAGATTTAAAAAAAAAGATTAATGGTATGAGGAACTGCTACAGGCGAGAATTAAATAAAGTAAAAAAAAGTGCAAAGTCTAGTGTTGGTGCGGAAAATTTGTATGTGCCATCTTTATGGTATTATAAAGATCTACAATTTTTACAAGAGCATAAGTGCCAATTCGCAGATCTAAGTACTTCTGATGTTGAGGATGTGGAAGATAAGGTAAATTATATTAGAAAATGATCTTTCATATCAAAGTGTTTCTTTTTTATATTACTATATAAAACAAGATTGAAGTTTACATTAAAATATGTTATTAAATTTCAGAATTCCCAGATTTATATATAGAGCGTCTCAAACTTTTAACGCCCACCTATTGCCACGGCATTGCTGCTTCTCCATTGAAGTAGTTTTGGTACATATTACGAATATCCTTTGTCGTGTTTAATAAGTTTCCTCCTTTTAATGCTTGTAACTTTGGTAATTGAGTACAGCTTCGTCATGATGCCGGTTGCAATTCTGCAATCAGGGTATTTTCTTTATCGATACTGTTCCTAAGATAATATCTTAAATTTTTGCGCATTAAGAAGTTATGCAGGTAATAGAGGGTCGTAGCAATGGCTACAGTTTTATGTGGGTCTAAATCACTTTTATTGGCGAGTACCCAAAACTGTGTGTTAAAATCCCAAAGACGTTCTTCACTACTTGTCTTGCTCTGATCAATCTGTAATTAAATATATTGTCTTCATCGCTTATATATATGCGACTCTAAGGTTTAATTCAATTCTGCAATAAAAACGATTCTGTTTTTTGCGTTAAACAGAATAGCGTCTGGAATGAGAATGGCTAATTAGTTTTCATAAATTTCATTTTAGAGAATATTCCAGCATCAGATGCCGTTCCATTTGCCCCCACATCGACAGCAATTATTTCACAATTTGAGTTAACAAAAGCCATTAAAACGATGCTAAAACACTTCTTATAATTATAGTAATAAGACACTGTTCCTTGTGGTATTTTTTTATTTCTACGCTTTTTTCGTCAATAGCACCTATGCAATTCGAGTAGTTTCACAGTGTTTCAAACCCTTTGGTGCTAAATTTCCACTGCTGTTATATGTCATATATGCTATATGCTATTTTTAGGAATCTGAAATTTAATAATAGTATAATATGTATGTATATAAATATATAAATTTCTTTTAATGCAGTAATTAAACACATAATTGATTTTCTTTATTTTTATATTAAACTATTAATTATATTCCAGGCTACTTATGAACCACCACGTAAAAAGAAAATGCATCACACAAATTTTTTAGCAAAAGCACAAGATAAAAATACTATAAAAGACGATGCTGACATTTATGGACAATCTTGGGCAGTAACATACCGCAAATTATCATCTGAACAACAAGTACTCGCCAAGCTAGGAATAGAGAAGCTGCTCGCGGAAGGACAAATGAACAAACTGACTTACGAGTCAGTAGCATATATTGGAATTCCTCCAGAAACAACAGCACCACCATTGCATTATAGCAATGCTGCAACACCATACAAAGACCCACTTGTGCAGAAACAAGTTCGAATTACACCTTCGCCATACTCAAGCTACACTTCCAGTCCGGCAATGAGTCCAATAGGGGTGTATATTAATTCAAGTAGCCCTTCAATGAGTCCCTCAAAATTAAATGCTCAACAGCAACAAAATGAATATGAAGAAACTGTGACAACATCGTACCCAATTAGTATACGCCAGAATTCGGTGGAAAGGAGTTACAAGTCCTCTGATTAACTATTTACTAACACAGATTTTGCTAAACGCAGCAAATATTCCAATTATATTTTAAAATTTGATTACTTTTATATTTTATTAAAATTTGATTAATTAAGACAATAAAAAACTGATTTACCTGAATATATTCTTCTAATGTTGTGCTTATGGCATCGCAGGTTTCAATAACTATATTACTTAAATTATATCGCAGTCAACAACGTCAAGTCCTGAAAAGTTCCCCCAAAGCCAAAAATCGCAAGGTTACGAATAGTCTCTCATGGGGCGAAATAGCTTATCTGATGAATTAATGATGAATGATTTAGGTAGTGATGCCAAGTTATTCTTAAGCAACCAGAAGTTGTTCTATTGGAGCATTCATGTCAAAAGTATACACCTTATGTTAAACCCTCTGTTGAAATTACATACTTTTCAAAACAAATCATAACTTATATCGATCACAAATGATAATGAGGAAAAGAACAAACATTTAAGATAGTTCATTTGAAATATAATATATTTATATATGATAAAAGTACATTAGTATTTTACATATTTATTTCTCTTTTGAGTACATAAGAAATACTTTGTTAAGTTTCTAATAAATATAGATGAATTTGAAGTTATCATACTATAAATACTCTATTTATATTAGTATTTCATCGATTTCTTTGTTACCCATCAACAAAAAAGTATACATGGAAGAGTAATGGCAACGCTGTGAAAGTGAATTTTCGTATATATTAAATCTTATGCTGAATTGAAATTTATAAAGCCCAAAAAAATTAGATAGGAACTTTTAAAATGCTATTTGATGCATTATCGATATTAATCTATTTTATTGAAATAAAAATATTTTAAATAAATTAAAATTTTTAGATATAAATCGCTTGTTAATCATATAGAAAAAAAATATCAATTACATTAATTAATTAATCAATTAATTAATTACAAGTTTCTTTTTTATGTTTCTGTTGATATACGTTGCCAAGCAGTACCAAAATATTTTTTAAAATAAAATACGTGTTTCAATTTAAACTCAAATAAAACGCATCTAATATGTATGTATATACTGTATAAGTTAAATATATATATGTATCTATTAATTTTTATGATGTTATCTGCGCTATATTGAAAGTGCACTGAAATTGTGAATATTGTCTTATAAATATATGAAATGAAATGTATAAGGGTAATTGGTAAATCACCTTCAACTGTTGTTATGAATAAAAAATAATACAATAAAATTAATTTACTTTTAATCGTCTTTGATCATAAATAATCTAATAATCTAAGTCCCAATCGATTCATTTTAGTTCTTTTAAAAGTCTAATCAGACAAATAATAGATTGATAAAAATATCATATAACAAATAAAAAAAAATTGTAATTTTGAATATCACCTTCCTCGATCGGTTCACTTCCCTAAAAGCCTGTTCACACAGCATATCATAATTTCATCAACATTTTATTTTTATTTTATGCTCTCGTTATAAAAATGCTAAACATTACATATTGCAGCAACATTTTGTTTTATTTTGCTATAATTCATAGAAAGTATTTACAACATTCCCATACAATTGTATAATTACAAATTACGATTTCAATTTAAATTTGTTTAAATTACAATTCAATTGCACAAAAGAAAACATATTGGATGAATAAAATTACAAGTACTTGTGCTGTGTGAATAGGCCATAAGTCTTATATTAATGAGTTTCAGTGAAAACGAACTGCGCTTAAAGCAAACGATTCAAAATGTAAGAAAATCGATTACATTTATCATAACAATTAAATCGATAATTCATTACAATTAAAGTATATTTTTTTATTTATTATTTTAAATTGTTTTTTATGATTTCATAATTAATAATTTGAATTAGTAACGCATTCATTGCATTGCTATGAATATATATTGAAATTAACTACTTAAGATAAAACTATCAAAAAACATTGAGATGATTTTTAGTCAAATTAATCATTTTAAGTCTTAATCTAATCCGATTAAAACATAATTTTAATTTTTAGTTCACTTCAGTTGCAAAAAATTTCCATGTATTCTTTTTTCAGACTTTTTCAGATTTCATTTAACATCTGTCATACTTCGTTCCCAGTACAGCATAGAACATTTAAATTTTTCATATCAAAGCATTTTTTTAATTATTAATCTTATATATATATATGTATGTATAAATATTTTTTTTTACAGTAATTAGATTTTGAGCAAATATTTATAACTTTAATATGAAGCTTATTGAATTAAAATATATTAAATACATATATATTGTTTTTAAAAATATTGTTATTTTTACAAATGACATTTTCTTTAATATATTTTGTAAACATATATCTTTATACATTTATATTAAAGTATGTATATACATACGTGTTATATTATATAACATTTTTTTATATAAGTTAAAAATAAGGCCACAATAAAAACTTTTACAGAGACACAAAAAAAAATATTTTAATAATAAATAAAAATTTTAACACGTTTACTAAAGCGTTTTAATTAAAGATTAATATAAATTATAATAATTATTAATTTAAAAAATGTAATTTTTTAATTTAACGTTAACGTATTCATTTTCTTATGATCAAACAAAAAAAATTAATTTTTGGGTTAATCATTGGACATTTAAAATTTTATTTTGTATACAATTTAAGTCATTAAAGTAAACATTTTTCTTAATATAAATTTGATAATATTTAATAGAAATAATAGCTTGATGTTGAGCATATGTCCATTAGTTCATTAATAAAGTTTATTAATAAATAATTTTAATTAAAATAATTATTGAAATAATTATGAACACAAAATAACTTATAATAGTTTATAAAGCTTAAAGAAGATTTGTGATTTAAAATAAAATTAATTAAATTAAATTTTATTTTAAATAAATAATTTTATTTTAAATAAATAGTTTTATTTTAAATGAATTTATTAAATTAAATTTTATTTTAAAAATATGCAAAACAATAAATGTGATTATAAGTATTAATTAATGTAACATATTTTATTTTGATTGCTAGCACTAGAAGAATTGTTATTAAATTATTCTAAAAATACTTATTACTATATATTATCAGTTATAATGAACAATTTTTTCTGTAAATAATTAAATAAAAATTTAAATACTAAAAATAAAATATATTTTACTTACATTTTTTTTTTGTAAATACATGAGAATTTAAAAAAAATAAAATGAAACAAATTTAAATATTTTAAATATATATATTTTTAATAAAATAAAAATAATTTTTAAAAAATTGATAATAATGAAAGTGTGATGGGAGCAAATAATAATAGAGACACAACATTTCAAAATAATAATAAATTTTAAAATAATAAAATAAAAATTAAAAAGCAAGCTGTAAAAATATCATGTAAAAGTATTTCCTTCATTTGTTGTTTTTATTTATTTATTTATTTTTTTTTATTTGGACGGATTTATTTCAAACTTATTAAAAATACTTTTATAATTTATTTTATAAACATAACATATTGAAGAAATTAATATTTTAATATCATCCCATTAAATGTTGTATTAGGTATCAGTGTAATGAGCAAAAGTATTGGATAAGAAATATAAAAAAAAATTTTTTAATACAACTAATCTATTTTTTTTTTTTTTTTGATATTTGGATTTTAATCCTTTCTAACCTTTGCCAATTATTCGTGAAGGAAGATAAATATTCAAATGCTAAATTCTATGATTCAAATTGAGTGATTTGGAAATATATATTTTCTTGGTAAGTTATTGAATTATGTAGTATGTTTTATAAAACATTTTACAAATAAAAGCTGTTACAAGTACTTATTATATTAGAGAAAAATAATAGCAATATATAAAATTTCGAAAGCTTTTTTTTTTTAAGAATAAACACTGACAAATATTACTGGACAGATATTACTTTGTTCATATCACTTAATTTCGACATTTATGCAACGAATGGCTTTAAGCGATCGGTTTAAATTTGGATAAAACTATAAACCAATCCTTTACGCATATAATATTGTACAAAAACTTTGTCTAATTTTAATATATAACTAAAAAATTTGTTGCAACAAAGCTTAGATAGTCAACATATTCCTGCAAAAAGATGATCAGATCGCTTCAGTTTTAAATATAACTGCAATATAAGCTGATACTTTAAACACCTAATTAGTTAGGTTGGGTTAGGTTATACCTGCAATCCTAAGGGGATCCACTTAGGCTTATAGGCCCATTGTGGTACCGTATTATTAAATACCTAATTAGTTAACAAATATTATTTTTATTATATTTTCAAATCAAATACTAGGTAATTGTATCAAATTTTGTTTGTATTGCGTTTTAAGAGCGTACATTTCAAATATTCACAAAAAAAAATTTTATTTAAAAATATTTACTCAATTTATACATTGTATATTGTACATCATGAAAAACTAACGATATTTACATGTGAAATGGATATTTATCCGGTATTTTCACACATCACTAATACCAAAGAATCAAAGTAAAATCTAGTGCTGTTTATGTCATTCGAATTATTTGATATTCGAACTATGCAACGAATACGAAAATTCGAATTTGCATCATATGCGGACTATTTAAAAAATTTGAAATGTTCGTTTACAGCACTTGTAAGATATAAAAGCAATAATTTATACTTATAGAATACGACAAAAAGTGTTTGGGTATAAAAACTTAAAGGACAATATGCCATAGTTTCAATATTTCAATATTATGATATATTGATGGAATACAATTGAGCAAGTATGAAATGGCAGTTAGAGTTAAACCTAGTCATATAGGCTTCTATAGATAATAAGATGGGTTTTAAATTTTATTAGATTAAATTTGCATACTCGTAAGATTTATTATTTTTTGTGTGGTTATTTTAAGAATAACGATAATAAAAACTATTACATTTTTTTTTTCAAGTAAGTATCTTAATTTGTTTTTGAAAATATGCAGAGACCAAACATCTTTAGCGCACTAGAGTTGAAAATAAAATAAAACAAAGTCTATTTAAAATAAAATAATTCAATTTTTGTTGATTATAACTGAAAACTTTAAATTATAGTTAAAAAAAAACTTATTTAGCGGAGTATTATTATAAATATATTTTTTTAATATTATCAACGAACAATAATGCTATTTTTAAATAACTTGTTTGATTTGTTCAGAGCGGAATAAAGGCCCAAGACTAAGGTGACCAAAAAATATAACGACTATTAGAATTTAATGCTTAACTATTTGTATAACGTACATATATATTGAAAAATACTGGACAATTTAAAACAGATATTTTTTAATATTTACAATCAAATATTAAATTGCTGGCACAATTTAATAGACTATGAGTCTCTCTGTAAGATATACTATTACATATATATATATATATATATATATATATATATATATATCAATATTTATATATTATAAAATAGTTTTAGTATTTTATTTTGTAGTGTTTTTATCTTAAATATGCAATACATCACAAATATTTTTTAAATAACATATTTGGTTATTTACTTTTAGGCCATAGTATCATATTTTAAACCATTGGAAAAAATTTTATAATAAAATGTTTTATTTTATTATAAAATAGTTTATTTTATTTTAAATTATTTGATTTTATTGCATTATAAAGTATTTTATTTTATAATAAAATGTATTGTGTATGTATGATAAAATGTTTTATATTATCATAAAATTATTAATTTTATTTTAAGATATTTTATTTTATGAAACTATAAAATATTCCATTGTATTTTCAAGTTATATATTTTATAATACATAATTTATATTTATAATTTATATATTTTATTTCATTATAAAATAATTTGTTGTAATATATTTTATTTTATGGTTTAAAAAATATTTTATTATATTTCAAAATAATGTGTGTTATAATAAATAATTTATTTTACATTTAATTTTATAATAAAAATTTATTTTTTTTTTTTATAAATTATTTTATATATTTATAGAATAATTTATTTTATTATAAAATATTTTATATCATTATAGAATAATTAGCTTATCATAAAACATTTTGAATTATTATAGAATTATTTTTTAGTATTTTTAAATAGAATTTATTTTATTATAAAATATTTTATATCATTATAGAATAATTTATCTTATTATAAGATATTTTATATCATTAATAAACTAATTTACTAATTTATTTTAGTATAAGATATTTTGTTTTATGATAAAAAATATATTATTGTATTTTAAAATATGTTATTTTATTTTAAATGTTTTTTAGCAGTTTTTTTGTTAAATTAAAATAAAACGTTTAGTCGATTTTAATTTTTTTCTTTATTAAAAAAATATATATGTTTAGTTATAATTTGCTTTAAATAATTTTTATATAAAATGTTAATAAAATTATATCTAATACGTATCAATTTTAAATAATAATATACGAGTATAAAGTAAAATTAATTTTAAACAAATTATATATATATATAAATGTATGTATTTTAAAACAGTAATTTTGAAAAATATCGCACTGCAAAGAACACAAACAAAATATGTATATAAAAGTAATAATTAAAACGTAAAATTATTTAATTTACTTAAAATTATTTAAACAAATATAATAAAATCACTACTTTTCTTCACAGCGCTCGCTGTTCGAAGAAGGAAATCTAAGATAAAACCAAAACTTAAACTGAAATAAAAATAAAAACAAAATAATTTAAATTAAAGAAAAAATACATTGATTATTTAATGCTTTCTATATGAAACCTCGAATGCGTATGAACAATTTCTGAATATCAATTTCAATATTTTATATTTAATATTAATTTTTTTAGTTTTAAAAAGCGTTTCGTTAATTTTTTTATATATTTCATATATCATTATTAAGAAATACAGATCTTAGGTACTACAATTATTTATTTGAATTAAAATCATGATCTAATCTTTAAGCGTTTTATTTAATTATTGTATATCGTATTACATATTTACTGTTATTATTTGAACTGTTATTAATGTAAGTCTTAATAGTATTTTTAAACGAGTATTTTATAAGTAAGCTTATATAGATTAAAACGCTTAATGTATTTATTCTCTCCCTTCAACTCTAATCGAATTAAAATAATTTTATAATAATTATTGAAAAACAATTAACTAAAAACATATATAAAAAATGTGTAATAGTAATGCCACTTTAAGCTCATAAAAGTATCTGAGAAAGAGCGAGAGAAGGAGGAATTACTATGTAATTTTTAATAATAGTTAACGATTTTTATTATATGTTTTAATAAATAACTCATGCTGCCTCTTGTTCAGATATGTTAACTTTGGTACTTAACAAATAACATTTATGTTTTTTTAATTATATATGCTTAAAAATGTTTAAATCAGATCATAATATAATTTTTAAAATGTATCTAAATATTCAGCTCATTTCTATTATAAACAAATTACATTTTAGTTTGTGAAAACGCTTAATTGATTATAAGCCAAAAAAACCTTTACAACATAGTATTATTAAAACAAGTTGATTTTCCTAAGATCTGTATACATCGAAATACAAATTAAAATATATAATTTTAAATATTTTAGTTAATTACATTGATTTCATGAAGTATTCCACAAACTGTTATTATAATTATTATTTTATTTATTAATGTAAAAAAAATTTATCTAGTTTCTTTTTATTTACTGTTTTATTTGCTGTTATGTTTTGAATAGTTTTGAATTCGATTAAATAAAATTTATAAAAATCGACTATATTTTCTTCCTTTGTATTTTATAAAATTTTGCATTTGTTGTTCGATTCGAAGTAAAAACGAAGTCTGTTGTTATATAAATGACATAAGCGATATAAATTTAATTATCTAAAATTAGTTATGGTTTCCTGATCCTTATTACGACTAAGTGTGTGTCTTTAGAATTATGTATGAAGTCTTAAAAAAACCTAAGATCATCATAATTCGTGTGGTTTTTGCCGATTTTGTTGGTTGAATTTCATAAGAATGGATTATTTGAGTTAAAGGAGCCATTTGCCTGAAAAGAAAATTCATTATTAGTTATAAATAATAATTTTTAAATGAATATTTTATACTACTTTTTATTTTTCCAATTCTGTTTTATATATATATCCATATTATTAGAAATAATTTAGTATACCTTAAAATTAGTAATTAAAAATTAACCTACAAGTTATAAACAAATGTTCTTAGTTTGTTTTCAATAAGCCTCATTGATTAGCTAATAGTGTAGAGACTAGATTTTTTTCAAAGCTTCCAAAATTACTTTGTAAAAAATTTGCTTCTGTTTAAAGTAAAGGTAATCCCATTTCACTTCCTAATAATCCCCTTCCCTCCGACATAACTAGCACCCATTTACATTGTAACCCATGCAGTCGCTATCTAATTCCTTTTGTGTTATCTGCATTTACAGATCTCGGCTGATAACAATAATAACAACAACAACAACAAAATCATAATCCTAAAATAAAAAACCAGAAGAGAGTTTTAGTTTTAGAAACTAAATATCACGTCAATGTAACATTAGCTCAATTTTAGGAAGGTTGATGGCAACTTTTAATATAGATAGCAATTGGATGCATCTCGACACTGATTAAAGATATATGAGAAAAGTATATATATACTTGGTTGCCTAATACAGGCTTGGTTCGCGCACTTTTTTTCTCTTTATCTTTAGCAAATGTTAACAGATCTTTATTCATTTATATGAGTGAAACAAAAAAAGGAACGAAGAATTACTTTTGCTTATAGATGTTATTTCGGACTAAGTAGACAATTGAGAAATAAAGCTGTCTCTTGACAAAAAAAAAATACGCCAATCTCTAATCTCTTATCATGCCTGTCATGCTGTATGGTATAGAAGCTTGGACAATTACCAACAGTAATGAGAAGGCATTAGAGAGAGAAATTCTTCTGAAGATCTATGGTTGCTTACATATTGGGGCTTCGTTGACATTGTAATGTCGTGCAAATGAAAAAAAAATGTTTCAGATGAAAAGGTGTTTGATTCGGTACCCGCAGTTGAACAACGCGGTAGAGGACATGGGGAGCGTTTGGTGCTACCAATTGGGGCCAGCAAGCCACTGATCGGTCTGGTTACTGAGCGCAGCTAAAGACGACTCACGTCTGTTACTTAGCCAAGTAAGTAAGAAAGTAAAATCTTCATAAAATCCTTTTATGGACTACGTCAACACATAAAACTAACTGTCAAATTTAAAGAATAAACTGAGTTTTCAATAAATAAATCCTACACTAAAAACTGGGATGACAATCTCTATTATAATTTATTTAAAATCGTTAGATTCTGTTCCGATAGACGAAGGTTTCATAAGCATTAGAAACTATTAGGCTGACTAGGGTTCGATTTCTTTAATACAAATTTATTTTATTGATAACATAAAAATATTGAGATTATTAGTAATTCAAAAAAAAAATATAAACTTACAGCGAAAGGATTATTAAATCCGCTACCAACCATTCCTCCTAGACCGCCATTAGTAGCAATTTGTTGTTGCATTGCTCCAAAACCAAAGCCGCAACCATTTGGTCCACTTACTGCAGCAGATGGAGTTGTATTAAACATGTTTGGTGTCATTGTTTCATTACCCATGGAACCATTAAGTCCATTGGAGTAATTGAAGAAAGCTGCTGTAGAATTCGCCGTAGCTGTCCCATTTACTTGCTGTTGTGTGTTCAATGTTTGGTGTGAAGCGTAACCATTGCCTGCCAAGCTGCCATTGGGCAACAATGCCATATGCCCATAGAGATTCTGATTCTGTGTATTTGGTGTTGATTGAAAAGGATTGATCGAGGAATTGTTAGTATTGTTGCTGTTGTTGCCATTAGTATCTGTAAAAATTTCTATTAAAAAATAATAATGCATTTAAATCTTTATTTTAGTTTACTGTTTGCAAAATTATCAACCAATGCAGATGCAGCCGCCGCCGCTTCCGCAACGGCTTTACTCTCGCGTATTTGTTCATCTAAGTGCTTCAAAGCTGCGTACCGATCCTCGGGTGGAGTAGCACTTAATTTGTTGTTGTTTCTAAAATTATCATTGCTACCAAAAAGATTCCCATTTGAAGTTTTCGAAATATTACCATTTGTCAAGTGAAAACCTATTTTTTTGAAAACAAAAAAATTTGTTAGTTGTTATTTAATTACGAATAAATTTTTATTGAAAAAATTAGGTTCAATAAACAGAGAACTGCAAAAATTGAAAAATTCAAGCAATTACTAGATACAAATATTAGACGGCAATACAGCAAATTATTAACAATTTTTTAACATTTTTTTAAAAACATGCCAAAATCACTGTGTGTGCTTAAGAATTTTAAAAATTAGTGAAAATATTTTCTTTCTAAAGCTATTGTGAAAAATAAATGATAAAAAAGCTTATTTTAGAATTTACATTTAAAAAATATCAGTCAGGTTCAAAAAACCAAATAAAGTTCTGCTTAACGCACAATTAAGCTACAGTCGCTGGCTACAATAGATGGCTACAGTCGCTATCTATAGTCGCTGACTACATTCGCTGACCATAGTCGTTGACTACAGTCGTTGACCATAGTCGTTGACTACAGTCGTTGACCATAGTCGCTGACTACAGTCGCTGACCATAGTCGTTGACTACAGTCGCTGACCATAGTCGTTGACTACAGTCGCCGACCATAGTCGCTGACTACAGTCGCTGACTACAGCCGCTGTTTACAGTCGCTGACTACAGTCGTTGGCTATTAAATATTAAAAATATAGTTGAGCAAATATCTATCAGTAGCATTACGCATCACTGAGCAACATTCGCTGGTTACTGTACGTATATAATTGGACAACAATGAGAGTCACCAGCGACTGTAGCCAGCAACTGTTGCTTCATCTAATCGTGCGTTGAACATTTGTATGAGATATTAGGATTGGATCGATGAGTTATTTTAGTATTGAATAAATATGGAAATAAAATCGTTCTTTTGAACTTATAAAAATTACTCATTTAAAAAATTTACCCATTCAAAAACATTTTCAAACAATTAAAAATTCAATTAAGATGTAAATATTACAATTATAAAATTAAGTATAAAATTACTAATTTTAGTCTATATATGTTTTTTTTTTAATTATAATTTTCTTTTAAAATAATTTATTACTAGAGCGGAGCAATGCCGATAAGGCTTAAGTTAACCTAATTTAAATAGAACTCTTATTAGACCAATTTAATATATATTTATTTTTGTAATTAATAGGAAGCAGATTAGGCTTCCTTTTCAAATTTAACTTATAATCATTATGTTCTATATTCTACAGCATTTATGGGACGTAGATTCTTCAAAATTTATTCAAGTTTAATTGATTTGCAAAATTCTAAACAAGATGATAATTATTTTTTATATAATAATAATTATTTATTATTATATATATAGTAATAACAACGAAAGGGAAAAATAATTTAATATTTGTGAATTATATTTAGAATTTAAAAAAAAATTAAAAACATTTTATAAGTACAAAAAAAACGCATCTTCTATAATTGCAGACTATAATTTTCTATACCTTCATTTCTTAATACTGTTGTGCGTATTATTATGATAAGTGCCTGTAAAACTATATTAAAAATGAAAATTTAACGGGTTATTCATTTGTTGGTCCCGAATTGGCAGAACTGTTTTTCTGATATATTAAAAACAGAAGTGTTTTGTCCAACATATCATAAGGTATAATGATAAGGTTGGCTTACTATTCATTTGAAAAATATGTCAATAAAGACTATTTTCACATACGGAGCAATGAAAACCCACGTGAATTTGAAGAGATGAATGTTAGAGATATGTGCTTTGAACAGTATGATATTAGAATCTTTGCAACAAGTACTTTACTTTAAGATATTCCGCGAAGGATGATTAAATTATATATATGCCACACTTAGTGACAACTCCTAACAAATATGTTGAAAATAAAATTGGAGCGAAATCTTCAACATAAAATTATATTTTTTAAGTCCACTTTCGGAACGACAAAAGGGAAAGCTCTTTTAATTTAATCAAGTCTAATAATTTTTCATTAAATTCGACCTATTTCGATAGTCTCTCATCTTCTATGTGATCACTATTTAATAGCTGGTTACATATCCTTACAAGTTCTTTAAGAAATAAATCCGTGGCTTTGACAAAGAAGTCATAATAGATTATATGAAAGCCGTATAGAGCTTTAGAATATGAATTACATTTGTTTTAATACAAGATTAAATCATCAACTCAGTACAAAAACATATAAAATCATGATATATATTTGATATATAAAAAAGTATGGACCTGATGTTAAGGCAAGTGAAGAATCTTTGGAGCAGCATTTTAAAATGACCATCATTCCAAAAATGACGCTAAAATTAAATTAAATTTGCCAAATGATCAATACCGGATATGTGTTGAGCAGATTTTAACGTAATTGAAATATAGTGTGTTATTTTTTTTTTAACATATCAAGGTGCAAATTATTTACATAGTGCAAAATTTATTAAAACTTAATTTTATGATAAGATTTAAAATCATATTCATGATATGAAATAATTAAAAAATTTCAAATATGAGAAATTAATTATCGCAATATAAAAAATTATTAAATATTTTTGAAAAAAAAAGTAATTAATATTGAAAATATATTTTATGAAATTAACTAAAAATTTTTTTTCCTGATCGAATCATCAGTTTATATGGCAAAAACAAAAAAATCTTGTGTATAAACTTTTCAATATATAAATAAGTTAATATAATTAAACAATACATTATTACTAAAATGTTAATCGATCACATCAGATTTATATAAAGCTAACGAATTTTCTTATTATGTGTTCATATATTATTACATTTCCATCTGCGAAACATTTGAATAGTTGGTTGAGGTACAACTGTCATGTAAGCCTAATGTGGTGTTCACACTAGCGCTAGAAATTAACTAAGTATTGAAGTTGTCGTTTTTAATTAAAAAGCGTTTACACTATGAATATAATAATTTTTTTGATTATGAGTTTTTAGTATTCGAATCGGAACCGTAGCAAAAAATATATTGCTTCATTTTGGTTCAACAACGTAAAGTTCGATATTGTTTCTTTATGCTCAATCCTCTTCAGTTAAAAGTTTAAAAATAGTTTTTATTTAATTTAAGGAGAGTATCTTATTTGTTTTTATTAAATTAATTCATTAAATACGGGTTTTTAAAAGTATGAAAATAATTTAATCATGATAAAAAAAAACTTATTTGTAATAAAAATACAAAAATCAATTATTCGGAACTAAAATCAATTATGAACTAAAAACTCTTTTTTTTTCGTGGGAACAAAAATTGGAACCGATTTTTTTTTTAATTTGATCAAAACGAAAACTGTGACCAAACCGGGACCAAAATTTTAGATTCAGAGCCCTGGTGAATTATGAGTAACGGAAAACGTAACGAAACCCGAAACGAGATTCACGATTCAGACCCTTGATAAATTCTAAATAATTATATTTTCTTTTATTGTTTCAACAAAGAATATTTTAAAATCAATTGATTAACAATTCAAAAAATTAAAAATCTTTATTAAAATTATTAATTAAAGTTGCAATAGGGACAAGTGCTATCGTGATTCTTCAATAAACAATAATTAAAATTTTTCTTTTTTCATAAAAATATTTAATTAAATTTGCAATAGTGATTAGTGGTGTTGTGACTTATCGATTAATTACGATTCAATTACTATTAATATTAATATTAAATTAACCTAAAAAATGGTAATAACAAAAACCCTAAACTTCTTGTGAAAATTATATGAAAATATATTAACATTAAAAAAAAATACTAAATAAATATTATAACTTTGTTTTAATTTTTAAATATGTTATTTTGTTCACTAAAGAATAAAATGTAATAAAATTTTTTGATAACTGGGTCTGTATTTCTAAATATATTGCATTGAATAAATGCCTATCGATTATCGCTTCCAACTTGAGATGTATATGACTGTAGAATTCGTTTTCTTACATGGATTCGGATTGTAGTAGTTTAACTTAAAGTGATTGTGCTTTAATATATATATTATAATTATATATATATATATTATAATTATATATATTATAATTATATATATATATATTATAATTATATATATATTATATAGATATGTTATAATAAATTTATTCGTGTTTTTAATTAAATGTGGCAATACTGGCCAGTGCTATTGGATTTTGATTTTACAGTATTTTGAATTTTACAGAGAATAGCGGAATTCACTCTGTTTTGCAAAGTCAAATCGTTGCAAGAAGCACACAATGTAAGAATGCTATGCAAAAATTGCTAGAGTGCAAGAACACCTCTGTTGCAGAATTGCAACATCAAATTGAAACAGCTGTTTTTGCAGCATACCACATACACATGAGAAGCAACAAATGTCAGAACAGCTGTTTTTTTTCTTTTTTTTTGTTTCGTTACAAACCTATATTAATAGGTTTAGGTATAGCAAGATTGCATGCAATTGCAAGACACTTTGTGTGTATTTTGTTCTTGTCCATTGCAAGCTCGCGCAATCTATGCATTTTGTGCACTTTCCAATTTATTTACTAGACAGTGTGAATACCCCTAATTTAATTGCAAGGTTTTTTATTTCTGTCCGATAAAAAAAAGTCACATCTGCGTTATTGCTTTTTAGTTGTCTATGCATAAGTGATTGAATGCCAACATTTGCTACTGGGTGGTGGTAATGCTGTGTTAGAAGCTCTTCTACAATAAGGAAAGTATAAAACAAAACGAACATATAACAAAGCAAAACGAAAACAAAATTAAAAACAAAATGACAAATTTTTAAGAACTTACTCCAAGAACAAACATTATCACATACTGTTTTGGAATTAAGAATTGAGTTTGACTTGAAATTAAAATTTGCATTTGAATTAAAATTTTCTTCACTACAATTACTTTCAGAACGTGCAAAAATTCCCGCAGGCATACAATCAACACTTGAGTTCAGCCTATTCGAATTATCTATAAAATGTGCACGAAATGGATTTAAAGGTGAAAAACTCTCAACAAATACAGGTTCAGTTTTGTGTATGGAAAAAGTTTCGGACACTGAAAGAGGCTCACAGTATTTTGAGATTGGCGGATAACAGCTTGCGAAGGTTGTTGTGGTATTTGCTGTCGATCTTTGGTGTTCATTTAATTGTGTCACCATTGTTGCCTGTATATCTCTGGAAGGGTCATCGTTCGCAGGTGATCGCTCTATAACCTTTTCAAACGGATTCGTCACACAGTGTGGATATGGAGAATATATTGGTTTTTCAGCTATTGCAGCTATTCTTTGCTCTGTCGTTGTCGGAAACTTATTATGCGAAGATAAAAAATTTGTCGTTGGCGTTAATAGATCTGTTGTTTTAACAGTTTCTGGAGAATAATTCGACGAGTAAAATGCTTGTAATTGCTCCTCATTATTCACACTGGTACTATAATTATTTTTTTCGTTTTCACAACTACTGCTATGACTATAACTTGCATTATTGCTGTTGCGATTGGTAGTATCACTGCCATTGAAATGATAATTGCTACCAAGCACAGCCATTGCTGTTGCGTGTGCTGCCATTGCAAGTGGCGTGAATTTTGCTGTTTGTGTCAACGGATGTTGCTGTTCCTGCTGTTGGCGATAATGTTGTTGTTGTTGTTGTTGTTGTTGAACATATTGTTGTTGTTGTTGTTCCTGCTGTTGGCGAAACTGTTGCTGTTGCTGAACATACTGTTGTTGTTGTTGGATATAATGTTTTTGTTGTTGTTGTTGTTGTTGTTGTTGAATATACTGTTGTTTCTGCAATAATTCCTGCTGCTGCTTCTGCTGCTGCAATTGTGGATTATTAATTACACTAAGATCGTTGTGATCTATTTGAATTGGCGTGGAATAATTACTCGTTGCTGTATTTCTACTATCACTGATAACATAATTGCTGCTATTATTATTAGTGGTTTGATTATTAATTTGATATATACTTTTAGTATTTTTATGTAGGTTAGCATAATCGAAAACGATACCATCAAATGGATTGCTAAAATTACTTGTACTTTCACTAAATATCACATCGGTTGATTGAGTTTGATCATGTCTATTATTAATATTATTATCGTTAGGATTTCTATGGTTGTAGTGATTATTGATATAATATTTTTCATAACTCATATTTTCCATTTCCCTGTTATTAACTAGATAAGTATTATTCGATAAAGTGTTCTGATGTTGATGTTGCATCGGAGTATTTATGTGAGTGTTTATTGTTGTCGATACCCTTGATGTTGGCGTTTTCATTAAGTAAGCCTTGCTGATTAATTGATTATTGGCTACAGAAACAGACGTGAAAAATATTAAAAACAAAAAACTTACATATAAGCACCAATAATTGCACTCAAATATTTCAATATCGATCATTTTTAAAGAAGGTTTATAAAACATATAAATATAATAATCACTAGTTTCTTTCTATATGTTTGAAAGTAACAAATGTATTCAAATAAAATAAAATTCAATCATAAACAAAAATTTTTATGAAATGTTTTCATTTTATAATTTTCGGATGCGAAGTAATAATTTTTAAATTTAATTCAATGAAATTCAAGACGTAGATGTCATGTTATACAGACAGTCAATGTTACGTCAAAGATGAAATTGCCATTGTTTTCAATATAAATGAAAAAAATTGAGAGAAAGAAAGAAATTTCGATTAAAACACTGTTGCTCAGTGAAAATATCAGAATTTGTGCCAATTGGTCCATGCCACACTTGAGTAAAATTAAGGATTAAGTCGATTAAATTTTGCCCATGCTTTACATAATATTTTTCTTCATTTAATTATTTGATATTTTCTATTTTATATTCACACGGGTATTTTATTCTCAATGCCAGAACGGAACAGTTAACAGCGAAAGTAAAAAATATATGTGCAATGTAAGAATGCTTCTTCTGCTTTTTTTTACAAATACACACACAACTAAGCGACATTCAGATACACGTGATCTTAAAGCTGCAGAATTCATCAAGTGTAGCGAGCATCAAAAATTAATGTACGAAATTTAATTCTCAAAAATTACTCAAGTGTGACATGAGCTATTAGGAGTAAATATTGTATGTAATTTTGTGTGAATATGTAAGCATATTAACCTTTCCGATTTAAGCAGAAAAAAAATAATCAAAATTATAGTAAAAGTATGAAACAGTGAGTAATATTGTCATGATCATTCTTCAGATGACTATCTGTATAAAATAGCCCTCTGTTTTTTTTATTGGGAGTTACAAAAAAAAGTACATTTAGTCTAAATAGTCTCAATGGCAACACTGGAAATTAAAAATTAATTTTCTATTATGTTATGTTGTTCGCACATTATGATCAATACTTTATAATTAATTCAATTCTTATATATGGTAAAACAACTCAAAAATCACTTTCAATATTATTATCAGTTATGATATATCCAGAAAGGAGCACACCAAACTAATAAGTTTAGAAGATAAATATTATATTATATTACAATATATTACAAGGAACGACCCTTTTGCGATCAAAAATATTAAAACTTGATCATCCAGGGATAAAGCATAGTATACATTTTAAAACATGGCGACCACTAATAGTTTGGAATGTTGAGAAATATTGACTGGGTTTTTTATTAGTTTCTAGAATTGTGCAGTCCGACCGATATGTTTTACGAAAAGGACTAGATGTGTATGTAGCAGCAGATTTATTGAGACTGTTATCAAACCACGATTACATTTCTGTGATCAATGAATACAGGTCAATTTTTTACATAAATTATGTCTTATGCGATGTTTTATTACAATATTTTAATAATAACATCAACATATGGAATAACTGAATATAAAAGCATTAAAATGAAAAGTAGCAAGGTATTAATTTCAACAGATTGAAAAAAACTAAGGAGAAATATAAATCATTTTAATAAAATTCACTCAACGTCAGACACCGACTCCTCTGATTTATATATATCAATCATGCTACGCAGTTTTCTAATAAGGTTTACATACTTTACTTTATTAAAAGTCTATGCCTATCTATAAGACACAAGAGTAGACTCTCTTTTCCGCAAAACCTTTTTCCATGTTATAACTGATTCTATTGACTTGTTCAATGTATGATTCTTGTGTTTCAAAACTGAATTAATGGATTGGACTAACTAATTTGGACTTTATTCTGTCAACAATTAGTTTAAGGCATTTCAGTAAAATCCTTTAAACATTTTCGAAATGATTGATAACAGCACCATTGGATTATAGAAAACAAAAACTTTATGAACAGGCTTACCAAATTTTAAAACCCTAATTATTTCCAAAATTTTTAAATACGTAGGGCACGTATTTTATAATAAAGGAAACATTTATTAAATAATAAAACCTTCCACATTATATTTATAAGAATATAAATATCAACTGTTATCAAATAGAAGCCTGACCATTTTTTACATTTTAAATTGGGTTGGGTTGATAGAGTATTCTATTTTCTCAATACTGACGCGGATTAGCTAGGATGTGTTCTCTAAACTTCAATGATTTTCTACTTCATGTGTATAGCTACTATACAGTCAATAGAATCATTAAGCTTTGTTTGAAAACTTTTTCAAAATATATTTTTGTTCAATAAAAAAAATTTTCTTTCTTTAAAGATGATTCTTCAAAGTAAGATATTTAAAGAAATGGTTGGACTTCATATCAACTCGATAGATTAAGTCAACTGATATTTTATGCACTATTTAGAAATCTATAAGATCAATATAAAATATAAGATCTTGTTTGATAAGACCCAATATTTTTCAGTGATCAGTCGAGTACTGCAGAGAATGCGTTTAACATTGAAGCCCCCATCGAGAATGTAATTGTATCTCTAATTAATTGTAATCATTATTTAATTTTAAATGCTTTGATATGCTATATATTCGTATAGCACCAATCGTTAGATTATAGTATTTGACATATTTAATTCGAAGGTGTTTAGATCCAAAGGGTTTCCTACTGCATGAAACTGGATGCTACAGTTATATAGTGTTATATATAAGAAAAAAATTTTTAAATGGACATGAGCTTATTTGGTTTCTGTTATAAAGTATACATTATTTTTTTGACTTTTAAAATTAATTCAAGTTCATTTTAATGTTTCACTTAGGTTTTTTACTATTTTATAGGGCACCATTCTATTAGATGGTAAAACAGTTTTTGTTTATGCATTATACATTTTCTTGATGATATTATATCTGTGTGACTGTAATAATTTGCAGTTATCAGCGTTTTTTTTTTTTTTTTTGAGTCTAACAAGACGAAATGATTACGCTAATTAAAATATAATTTGGTTTCTTCATTACAATGGTCTCGAATTTTTGGTGCTAATCCTTAACTGCACTTCGTTAGTTTGCAGGATAATCTACCTCGCAGGTACAACATTTCACTTGTACGGATTTTTAAGCAAAAAATTTCTTGAGATCAGTCGTTATTAGTGAGCCCACACTAGGTTGTTCTTGCATTGTAGATTAAATTTACTATTTCGTACTGCTTCTATATATGTAAATAGTCAAATTAAGTATGCTTCAAATGCCATGGATATCGTTTGAAAGCTCAAATGTAAGAGGCTTTTTCATTCTTCATATATGCACAGTAAATATTTTTAACTATTAGTTCAATGGAGCTAGATTCTCTATATTATGTTAGTATATGTATCATAAGGTTGGGCACAACGTAAAAGATATAGTAATATATATGTACTGAGTGTATATTTTGTAAACGTCGCAGTTAAGAAGTTTTATTGAGTATTCATTGTTATATCTTTGACGTTTAGTCCACAAATTTGATTTTCTTAAACGGGTATGATTATATTTGGTTTACTCAGTCAGCAAATATTGGGCATTTAGGCTTTATTCTTTTTAGTCTCTGATCAGGTACTGCTTTTCGTTTTTTATTTCGATGCTTTTTGCACGTTTCTCTGCGATCCAGTTTGATTCGAGATCAATTTTCCTCATCTGTGTGGTTTTAACGTATCAGTTTACAGTCGATTGGAATACAAGTTTTGACTTTAATTCATATTCATGAAATTATAACGAAATTTGACACAGATGCCCTCTAGTACTGACAATTCCATCATTAAAACGTTGTGGACTCGCGTCACTGTAGTGAATTAGTTTTAATGCTAAGTTCATTTATTTAATGCCACATTTTAATAAAGATTTGTATAAAGGAAGAGCACGTAAGATCCATATTTTTTACGTTTAAAGTGATCATTTCACAACAAAATATTTAAAAAAAATAAAATTTACTACTTTTCGCTCGGTAAACAAAATGTCAATTTTTCTGAAGAAAACATCCAATCTTCACCGTTCCTCGTCGAAATAAAATAGCAATTGCAGTGTTTTTTTAAAGTTTTTTTTATATATAGTTTAAAATTCAAATCAAATTTGAACACTTTTGTTTTAGCTACTTAACTTCCTTAAAGTGGTCAAGGTTAGTAGAATTATTGCACATTATAAAATTCAGATGAGATTGCTGTATTTTAATACCATAAGACCCAATAGTACCATAAAACATTAGTTATTAATATTTTCTAATCATGTATGTTGAGATAAAAGCATCACACCTGCTACGATAAAATAGATGTAAAATGCAAAGCCAGAAAAAAATTTAAATTAATTACCTATATTATATTTCAAATTAATATACAAATATATCCTTGATTTAAAAAAAACCTGGATCCAATTATTAAAGAATAACATTTATGTACTATATATGCTGTTAAGTACATATATCTAAATAAAAAACTACAATACATACAAATCAAATAGAATTACCAAATACTGTTTTATAATCTAAAAAATTGATATAAATTTAATTAAAACTTTTTCCGAAGTACATTTATATATTAATTAAATAGAGAGTTAGATCTTTATAATTCATATAGTACTGGTATATAAATATATTAAGTAAACACAACATAAAAGGCATATGAAATTGAAAACAAATTGTAACTCGCAAAGAAGACAAAAAAAAAATAATGATTGGTATTATCAGATATCTAGTTTCTTACCAGCAGAGTTATATATAGGTGCATGATCGAAGTCAGCAAAATTTTCTGTATTGCCATTAGCAGTGGAATTTATTCGATTTTGCTGTGTGTTAGAATTGATATGACCTCCATTTATCATCTGTTTTGCAGCTTTGATAGGTTGAATTTTAGCATAACCATTTGATGACACTGCTGTGGCCGCTAGCGTAGCAGCCAAAGTTGCTGCCGAGTTTGTGGAGGTAGCATCGAAAATATTAGCAGAACCAAAATCGGCTACGAAATCGGAGTCCGTGCCGAAACCATTGCTTGATGTGCTGTTTGTATCCGAGAGTGCGCCAGTCGATGCTGAACCGGTACTCCCATTTAGACCTTTACTCAGCCCAAACGCATCCTGGTTTTGGTTGGACTGATGGAAACCGTTCTGATGTGGTCTACCTATTGCTGTAGATGGTGATGTTTTATGCTGTCTATTGTGTGTGTTTCGTTGAGAGGTTGGCGGTGTAAGTTGTATATTTTGAAAATTGTTATCGAACGTTGTTGTTACATTATGTTTATGATTATTATTAGAGGAACCACCAAAACCGTTTGTTAAATTCGATGTTCCTTGCATATTATTATTATTGTTGCTGCTACCATTTTGTACAATTGATTTCAATGCATTAGTTGCATTTGTTATCGATTTGAGCGGACTAGCCGGTTCCAAATAATATCTTTTGCGTTCATATTTATCAACCATCAATTCTCGATGATCTTGATGAATAACTCTTTTTGGATCCCATAAGCCAAGCCATGTTTTTGCACAGACTTCATTTCCATGCGCTTTAATGAAATCAAGTTCATCTTGTGTGAATGTAGCCATTGATATAGATTTGACTCGATGTGGTGGAGTTAAGCCACGACTGTAAAATAAAAAACAAACAAAAATTAATATCAAATGCATAAATAAATTTCATACTTAAATTATTATATTATTATTATTAATAATATTTTCATTTGTATAGAAATTTAACAAATTATGGTTTATGATTACATTCTAATATATAAAACAGCAAGTGTATTTGTTAATTAACTTTCACAACAAATTAATGAAATTCCAGGAAAAAGTGCGAACATACAAGTCAACTCTGAGTTTCAAATTTGACAGGGCACAAGTTCAATCTCTGGTGCTTGCAGTCTCTTGTATTTAGGAGATTTCCAAATAGATTCTCTTCTAATAGGTCACTGCATCCTACCAAGCGAATAAAATTGGTAAAAATATCTATCGCTGTGTGAAACGGATATTGATAGAAATTATTACATTCAGTGTAAATGCTGAAGATTCAGCAACTTGAGGATAGATTCATCCATCTTAGGAATAAACTATATGCTCTAATATATGGAACAAAATCAAGGTTCATTAAAATCTTAACAATCGATTAAAACAACTAAGTCGCGGAGGAGCATCGTAATAATACCTAATAATAATTATAAGAAAATATATTATTATTATAATAATGACAATAATAATAATAAGAACAATAGTTAATAACAAAGTAAATATAAAACATAATGGTAGTGTGAAATAAAAATTGTTTATCACTTGTTAGTGACTTTGTCAAAATATGTACTGGCTTCTATGTAAAAAAATGTTTCTACCCGGAAGTATTTGCTTAAAAGAAATTAAATTAAATTTAAAGCAATTTTTTAGCATTCTTCTAATGGCTATCTCAACACAGTTTCTTTGGTATTTTATTAAAATTACTTATAACTGCATTAATCAAAACAATGGTCACACCATTCAAACTTCAATATTATCATTATTTTTAAAACTATTTTCAATCAACCTCACAAAAGTGTAATATTCATCGTTTCTTTTTAACGTAAACAAATGTTGTTTATTGCATATAAGATCGCATTTTTAAATAAAATTAATAAATAATTAATAGTTAATAGAACTGTTCTTAAAAAAAACAATTAATTGGAAATTCCCAGTATTTGATTTTAACTAAAAATTTTATTTCATAGAATTTATTTTTTTTATTATTATTACTTACCGAAGAGTAGAAATGAAACGTGCATTGATAATTTTCTAATTAATTATAAAAAACAAATAGCAATATAAATAGTTTTTAATTAAGAAAATTGATAACAAAAATTTCAAATTGTTATTTAAATGTTAAATTCAACGCATATGCAAACGCAGATATGAATGGTCTCAATATCATTAGGATTCCTTTTCTAACTGATCTGATAGAACTGCCATTCTTCAAATTTAAGGACGAAAATGTGGCGTCTCTTAAAAAAGACGCTATTGCTGTGCTATGTGCTTCGGACTTGTAACTTAAAAGTTGTGATATCCAGATTTCCAGATCTGTTGTGATATAACAATGAGTCCGATTTTAGCATAATCACTATTTTGATATCTATAACCTTTTATTTTAGTGCAAAAAAAAAAATTATTTGTAATTGATTCAATATATAACATTTCATTCTGCATTTTAATTCAATTTATAAAAATGATTGGTTATTAATATATTTTAGAATAAAAGCATATCATTTTTATAAATTGAATTAAAATGCAGAATGAAATGATATATATTGAATCAATTACAAATAATTATATATAACATATTATATATAGATATCTACATTTATATGTAGTTTAAATTTATAGTTAGTACATAATTGAAACTAAAAAAATTGTTAAAACTCAATTTATGTCTGTGACTAAACAGTTCTTAGTATTATTGGTTCTGATTTCAGGGTATCGAGATATACAAGAAAATTAAATTGCTAAGGAAACACCGTTGGCAGAGGAATAAATAATGACCTTCCATAATAAGATGCTTAAAAATATACCCATAATCATATTCTAAGGGTAACTGAACCTTAGAATATTATAGTATTAGTGGACCAAGCTATAATTATTCAAAAACAAAAATCCTAATGTGCAGAGCTAAGATCGAAGTCGCAAAACTAATAGCAATGCTGACAGACCACAGACAAATAGACATTCATGACAAAAAAACTTGGTGTCCCTTTCAAGCAGAGACGCACGGGTTGCGGAGAAGAAAAGAAAAGAAAAATAACTAAACATATTTTAACTAACGCTCAGATCTGGCAAAAAAATTAAAACTTTTGTTTACAACTTTAACTAATGAGCTTGATGGATATTCCAAGCATAGATCTTCAAAAAAATAATCTCCTTTATTAGCTGTGCAGGTTGGTTATAACAGCTTGATCTTTATGACTAGGGATGTGATATTAAATAGGCGCCTAGGCATTACTTGGATAGAAGAGGAAGATCTGTCGGGAAACAAATCTAAAAAACCAAAGATGATTTGTATATATAAATTACAATTTAAAAATGATACTTGAAGATGACTTACAAATAAATTAATTTTAAACAAATTATTCTTTCAATATTTAAAGAGAATAATGAATTAGTATTTAAAATTGCTTAAATAGTTATTAATTTTTAAATAGTTCTCATTTAGAAATTATTTATCATAAAAAATCAATTATTTTGTCGGTTTTTCCAATAGAACATTGATCAAATCATTGTTGCTTGCATTAAATGATAAACTGGAGATTTTATATTTTAAAAATTCTGTTGAAACGGCTGTAATTAGTAGTAATTTGTTGATAAGAACAATAATGTACCTATTAGTTTACATTTATTTCAGCGTATTTCCTATATACATATCTATAGATCGCAGTTTCGGCAATTACTTCTTTATTAAAGCATGAATAATATCGTAGAATAATATGTGATGATAGTCACTGTAAGCTGTAAGCTATCGTTGTGATCGATTTATGGTATGGTTCATTATCTTGATAGAAGAAAACATGCTTTTTTCACAAAAGTTAGAAAAGTTCGAATAGAAATAAAAAGATAACAACAAAAATTTTAGTTAATTTATATAAACTTCGCTGACCATCAACGCTGTTTCGTGTATTGCTAATTACTCATCATCACTAGTCATTTTCGTTTTTTCACGATTTAGTTTAAACATACCATCCTTTCCTTTCTAAAAGTAATCGAAGAATGAAATGGTGTATGCATTACAGTCTATAGTAAAAAACTATACTGTGCATTAAAATAAATATTGCATTCTTTTAACTTAGCGACATCATTTAAAATTTAGATGGACATAACAATTATTTTTACATATCTAAGCAAAGAAAATTTTAATTGTCTCATGTTACATATATAAACTGTTCACGGCCCTTGAATACAAATAAATGATCTGTTACAAATTAGAACTTTACCACAAAGCAACAAACTAAATTAAAGATATATATATATATTATATAGTTTATATATATAAATATATGTTGAAGTAAACCATGAACATATACATATGTTATATACATATGTTATATATTAACTTATGATCGTATAAGTGGAATTCATTGCTGAGAAACTAAATGACTGGAAACAACAAATACCGTAGCGTCGCGGTCTGATAATTAAGCAGAAGACAACAGACAGCAGGCCATCACATGTCATCGTCTTAAGTACGTTACAGAAGAGACTCGAAAGCCATCTGAATGTATTGCAGACTGTCTCAAAGAGAAGCAAAAGAACAATAATATAAATAATTAAGTATACTAACTAAAACTGTGAAATGAAGTGCTACATCAAAGTGGTCGTATCAAGCAAAGGACCCGATTCCTAAAAACGAGTATTCAACGAACGAAATGGAATAAGAAAAAGGAATCATCAGACAAATAAATAAAAAATATTCCATCAGTAACATGTGTACAATACTCATATACAGGCTTCTCGTAATACAGACTATGTAAAAACTGCTGGCGATACTACTTACAGTCTTTAGTATTAATCATTAATATTTTATATACATACATATATATATATTTGCATATATCTTATGGGATGTGCTATAAACTGTTTAGACAGCAGAACAAACACTTTTTGTAATTAATTTTGCGTTTTCATTCTGTATGGAATTTAATAACTTTGCAGTCTCAATACAAAACGACTACTAAACCGGAAGTAAGATACTGCATATAAGTAATTTTATGTTGTAATGTTCTTCTCCTAACTGAAATTGTAATAAAAGTTTAAAATAAAATGGCTTAAAAATATTAAACTAACTTAGTTAATATTAGGGGTATTCGAATGTGCTCGATAAACTCGGTAAAATTTGATGTATATTTATTTTGGAGAAAATACCGCAGTATCGAGTCATCAGGTCTAATAATTTGTCGGTATTCTGTAAAATAATAGCTGATTCTTATTTCTGTAAAAGATTTGCAGTGTTCCAATTAATTATTCGTGTTCATGCAAAATAGGTTTTATACACAAACAAAGTGGATTGAAAAATACCAGGTTTAAGTATTAAAAACGCATTTTATTATAAAAATCATATTTTATGCTTCAATATAGGTCATTTTTAACTCTACACCGCGAGTCCAGGGAACTTTCAACATTTGGATACCTTTTAGGTAAAACGATTTATCAAGTCCTCCAAAATACACCTCAGTCTCCCATTCCACTTCATCATTTGATGCAAATTAAGTTTCCAGGGGCCATCTCTTCAAGTTTGGAAACAGATAATAGTCCCTCGGAGCCAAATCTGGAAAATTCGGTGTGTGAGGAAGTAATTTTAACTAAAATTAATTTATTTTACAGTGGTGTACTATTTCATTTATTTGCAAAAAACCAACCAAACATCTGATAAAGTCAAAACTTTTATATATGTCGTTCAAGACTTTTGTTCTGGCGTTCCCACTTTTTGTGAAGTCAGGTAATTATCAACCCATTTCATATATTAAAAATATATGAAATTTTTCTAAAAGCAAGGTTTTGTAGACATATTCACGACAAATTTATTATGGAGTCACATATACATAACCAGATTTTAATTATCAAGAATTTTAACAATTGAATAAG